GAGTCAAGTATATGTTGGTTGATGAACAGAAGGGAGACTCCTCCTTTACCCGATTTTGCTGCACTCGAATGTCCTCTGTGGTGGTTGTCCAGGTTGCTATTAAAATTGTTCATGTGTTGATGTTTAAAAGCCTGTACGATCCACGTGTTCTGTGCCTATATGATTTGTCCCCAATGTTGGTATGATTGAAATATGCTGAGCTTACCTCGTATCTGACTTGGTTTGCTTGGGGACAAGCAAACGGTTAAGTGTGGGGGAATTTGTTGAATTGATATATACACATGTTTTTGTCCACCATTCTTGTACCGTTTGAGTTTTATTTCTCGTGTTTTAGGCCGATTTCACGCTAGGTTGTTCTTGTTTATGATATTTCAGGTCCTAGTACGTGAATGAAGGTTTGGGAACGAGTTTGGGGTCGATTGGAGGAAAATAGGGCATTTGGCGAGAAGCTGAGGAAGCCACACGGGCACACCTAAAATCCCACGCGGCCGTGTGACTTGGCCGTGTGGCACCACTTTGCACGGGCAAGCCACACTGGCCGTGTAGGGGACCCCTTGTGGCCGTGTGGAAAGTCCAGGGAGCTCACACGGGCATCCTGGAAACCCACACGGCCGTGTGTCCCTGGCCGTGCAGCATGCCTGGAAGTCACTTAATCAAAACGCGGTGTTTTGAGAGCCACACGGGCAGCTGGAATTTCCACGGCCGTGTGGCCTGGCCGTGTGGTCGGGAATTTCTGGGTTTTAACCCAATTTCGAGCCAAAGAAGAGGGGATCGACTTTTTGGAGCAAAAACAGAGCCCTAGAGAGAGAAAGTGCGAAGAACACATCCTAGAAGTGATTTTGGAGCTGGGTTTCATAAATCGAGCTTGGAGATCATCATAGGAGTGAAGGTCATCATCCCAGAGCAGATTCTTCCCATTGTTATGAGTATGACTGCTTTGTATTCTGTTTCCCTCTCTCTCTCTCTCTCTCTCTCTCTCTCTCTATGGAGTAGAACTTTCTCTCACTTGGGTATGAAGAACCCTAGTTCCATGTGTTAGGAATCTTGATTGTAATTACGTTTGGATTGTGATATTGCTTGATTATAATCGATTGAAGTGTTTTGACTGAGTCAATTGAAGTCTGATAATCTTTTATTGATATCTGCTGCAACCTAAGATAGATAGAATCTGATTAGGTTGTTAGAGCTTATTCAATCGGTAGTAGTGAATCGATTATACGAGAGTTAGTCGATTCACTACTTTGTACTGGAATCTAATTCCAGTAATGGAGTTCTGTGCTTATTGCCTCAGCAGTCTATCCCAGTGAAGGTTAGTCGCCTGCCGGTTAGCCTGTCTGAGAGGGCTTGGTCAGCTTAAGAGATTACTGTCGGATCTTCCGCAGTTTAATCAACAGTAAATCAACCCAGGGCAATTACAACTGAGACCTAACTAAGGAGCTAGGGGGACTCATTCCCGAGTGACTCTTCCCTTGCTTTAGAAAACCGAATCATTTCCTGCTTTCTTACAGATTTTACTTAAATCAACAATCACTCAACTTAGTTTGCTAGATAACAGATATACATGGAGTAAGCAGTAGATCTAGACTTGGTCGTAGTTTTAGAACTTGCCACTTTAATGCATTTCCGGACTGCGATTACACTTGGTCATAGTTTAGTGTTGTGTTTTAGCGTGTCATAGAGCCCTCTTGATTGGAGGTGGTGAATTGACTACTTTAGTCGAGAAGTCAATTCACTGCTCCGTACTGGATTTGATCCAGTAGAGGAGGTTTTACACGTTAGGGCCTTAGTTCGTTTACTCTGGTGGAGCTTACTCGCCCGCTGGGTATTCAGACTGGGAGGGTCTGAAGACCTTTAGTCGAGACTTCAGATTGAATAAGAATCTTCTGCAGTATAACTATCATTATATATGAACTTGATAAATTACAATTTGGCTTAACTGCAATCTAGGGGAACCATATCCGGGTGACGTCTCTCGAACTTGAATCACAACTTTACTACTTTGTGTTTGCTTAGAGTAATTACAACTTCACTACGTTTAAACTACTGAATAACGAGAACTTCATGGAGTAGTCATCACATCTAGGACCTGGGTTGACAATTAAAGCTAAACCCGCTACATTACACATTAGTTCGTGGTTACACTTGGCTACTTTCTAGTGTGACGGTATTGGTGAGTGAGCTACCCCTCCTCGCAGAAGGGATATCACATCCTTGAGTTGGCGTCCCAAAGAATCTTTGTTTCACGAAACGTAGTCTTTGATGAGAATGTTTTTACCTTCCATTCTCTCACTAGTGATATACAGTCGTGTTCCTTTCCTATTCCACGTGTTGACCCTTCCGTAGATACGAATGGTGATGACAGTGAAGCTGCTGCCTCTCTTCCTCTTGAGCAGGTTGTTGCTTTTGCAATGGCTGATAATTCAGCTGCACCTCCAGCAACAGACATTGCTTTAGCTGATGCTCGTCCCTCACCATGCACGAGCAGCCCATGCATGGATACCTCCCCAAGCTTTGTCGAGCAGGGTGCTATTTCACCTTCCACGATCGAGGAGCCCCCTCCGACACAACATCCTCCTCGCCGTTTGTAAGGTTATGATACTTATCTTCCCTCTTCTCATACTGTGACGGCTACAAATTATCCTTTGTCAGCCTATGTTAATTTTACTTGTTTATCCGCTAATCATCGTGTTTTCGTGTCATAGGTGAATACCTTGGCTGAACCCCAGCTTTTTTCATGATGTTGTCCAGTAAGCTTGCTTGCATGAGGCCATGCAATGCGAGATTGGAGGCCAATGACACATGCGTCTTGGAGGAATTGCCTCCGAATAAGAAAGCCATAGATTCCAAGCGAATATACAAGATTAAGTTTTGTCCCGATAGCAGTGTCGAGCAATATAAAGCTCTTCTAGTGGAGAAAGGGTTTACCTAGGTCGAAAGTGTTGATTATCACGATACCTTTGCTCTGTTTGCCAAACTGGTCACCGTTCGCTGTGTTCTCGCCATCGCCGCACATCGTGGTTTGCATCTTCACTAGTTGGATTTGAACAATGCTTTCCTCCATGGTGATTAGCAGGAAGAAGTATACATCAAACTTCCCCAAGGATTTGCTCGACCGGGGGATAATCGAGTTTGTCGTCTATGCAAATCCTTATATGGCCTGAAGCAGGCTTCTTGAAATTGGGATATGAAGTTCACTACGTTTCTTTAGTAGTCTGGTTTTCAGCATTCAAAGGCCGATCGTTCCCTGTTCCTTTATCGTTGAGGTGGGGTATTTGTTTTTTCATTGATTTATGTTAATGACCTAATTCTTGGCGGTGATGACTTAGCTACCATTTAGCGTGTCAAGGGATTTCTACATGATCAGTGCAGTATTAAAGATGTGGGAGTTTTGAAGTATTTTTGGGGGATTGAGGTAGCTCATTCATGGAAAGGCTTGGTGTTGTCACAGAGAAAGTACACCTTAGATATATTGAAGGATACTTGGGCTTTGGCTGCGAAATCATGTGCATTTCCTATTGAGCAGAACCATAATCTTATCCAGATCGAAGGCCCTGCAGCCAAAGATCTTTCTGGTTTTTGTTTTCTGGTTGGAAGACTACAATACTTAACAGTTACCCGACCTGACATTGTCTATGTTGTCAATATACTGAGTCATGCCGTTCATTCACCGCCTCAAGAGCATGAGGATGCTGCTTACAGGGTGCTTCGGTATCTTAAAGGTGCACCATGATGGGGTCTTCTTTTTCTCACACAAGGCCACCTCAGTCTTATTGGCTACTGTGATGCGGACTGGGGTGGTTGCCAGCGCACTCGACACTCCACTATTGGTTACTTTATTTAGCTGGGTCATAGTCCTGTCTCGTGGCGCACAAAGAAACAGTCAGTTGTTTCTCGTTTTGGTCGAGAGTGAGTATCAAGCTATGTCCAGTACGGTGAGTGAACTCGTCTGGCTTCAATAGTTACTTAGTGAGCTCGGTGTTCCCAGCTCCTCTTTTACTTCGTTGCATTGTGATAATCAGACGGTTTTGCATATTGTTGCCAACCCGGTATTTCATGAACGAAGGAAGTATGTCGAGATGTACTTCGTTCGTGAACGTGTTACATTTGGTGAAATCGCTCCGCATAAGATTTCCTCTCAAGAGCAAGTTGCTAAGATGTTTACTAAAGAGTTAGGTGTTGATCAGTTTGCATTTCTAACCTCCAAGCTGGGCCTTCATGACATTCACGTTCCAGCTTGAGGGGGCGTGTTGTGAGAGTACGTACGGGACATGTGGCGTACGTACGGGGCTTGCTGTTTCTACGACTTGTCCTTCTTTGTTATCTTATATTTGTTTTGGGAAAGTTTAGTACTTTGCAATTCCTAGCTGTGTGTGGAAAATGAATTGCATGTGGTATATATATGTTAGCAGCCGAGCTGCTTGGTGTGTAAGTGTGGTTAGAGAAAACCCTCATAATAGTATAAGCCGAGCTGCTTGTTGAAAGAGGATTTGTGAGTGTTCCATGGCTTAGTCTCATTCTCGCGAACGAGGATACCACGTAAATCGCGTGTGTTATTCGTTTATTTCAATATAGATTAGCTAGCGAGATTTGTAAATGGTGTTATAAACAATTCTTGGAGGATTTGGACACAATTAAAAGTAGTGTTCACAATTTAAATTCGTCCTACTTGGTATTACCCAACCTGAACTATGTTATGGTGGGCAATATCCCCTAGTAGCATGAAGTGGGACATGTGTATTACTTCAAACCTGCCCCTCGTTCTTGACCCTTTATACATCAATTTGCCTCATTATCTATTTTTGGTTTTTCTATTTTGACTTATCTTAACTTATATCTCACCCAATGATACTTTTGATACGTACAATACTTCATCTTTCAACTAATTAAACTCAATTAATCTACATATTATATCAATTTTTCATTAATAAACTAATTTATCATAAAAAATATTTTTTTCTTCAATTAATATATAAGAACGAGTTGACCTGCACCAACTTATACTCTATGTGTATTACCGTTCCGACACGCATTTGGTACCGAATGTGTATGGGTATGGAGGTACCGCCCTGCTCTGTCACATTACATTCACTAAGTAAAAGTGTAGTTGCATGCGAAAGAATTCGAAAAATTATGAATGTCCTAAAGGATTCGATATGACATTTCTAAATTTATATAGATATGAATAAATTAATTTATATTAAAAACTAGAATTTAGCAATGTGTTCTTTAACTTTGGAGAAGAAGACAATAACAAAAAAAGAAAAATGTTAGAAACAAACTCCGTAAGTAGAGAAGAAAAAAGATAAAAAAGAAGTTAGAGAGATACAAGTCCATCTATCCCCTCAATGTGACAATAACAAAGAGAACCGGTTGGGGAAAGAGTTTTTTCTCGTAGTTGGCTTCATACTATCATTTCAAAAATCCTCTTTCTACAAGATTTAACGAGAGAAAATCTGTCGTTTTTGCTGCTCGAAAGAGCAACAACCTTAAAACAATAAAAGAAATACGAGAAAAAGAAAGTGAAGAACAGATGTATATTTTTGTAATCCAAACGAGAATTCGCTTGAAAATAACAAGAAGATAAACCAATACCATCTTCATTTCAAGCTTGGTCTCTAAATTCATAATCCCTCCTCCTATGTCAAGCCTATGAGTAATTGACAAAAAAAAAAAGCGATTTTCATAACAAGAGTGAATCTTCTCCCCCATAACCCATTTGTTAGGATGTAATGGGGAGAGAATATGCAAACAACAATGCTTTCGAAATCAAGGTTCATCATTCACGCCCATCTCTAGTTGAAGACCCGACAATATCAACTTTGGAGCAGCAACAACGTCGTCGCAATCAACACCAAAGACATGAAACCAGCGGTGGCGACTTTAAGCCCTTCAAACCGTGGTTCCCCTGGTTGGTTCCACTGTTCGTGGTGGCTAATGTTGTTCTTTTCATTATCGTTATGTATGTGAACAATTGTCCAAAGAGGTCCACAAACTGCGTTGCTGGATTTCTTGGGAGATTCGCTTTCCAGCCATTGAAAGAAAATCCTCTTCTTGGGCCCTCCTCCGATACGTTAGTCCCTTCTATTTTTTTTTTTCCTTAAGAAGATCACAGAAAATTATAGATAACCAAAGTGCTTGTAGGGTTTAACGTTATATTTTTTTTACATGTCATTGATGTTCCTTTCTAAACATCAATGGTATGTTTGATTCTCCAGTCTAGACGGATTGTTACGTCGTTATTCATACAAATTCTTGAGAATGTTCTTCAATTACGAATAAACATTAATTTTTGTATTATGACGAATGATTTTGCAAGTTCATCAAATTTTACATATTGTTAAAGAAAGAATTCCAACTTTTTTTTGTTCTTAATTTCAGGTTGTTGAAAATGGGTGCAATGGAAGTGGAGAAGGTGGTGAAGGGACATCAAGGATGGCGTCTTATTTCTTGCATTTGGTTGCATGCTGGGGTTTTCCATTTGCTTGCTAATATGATCAGTCTTTTAATCATTGGCATTCGTCTTGAGAAAGAATTTGGGTTTAGTATGTCTGTAACTTTCAAAGAATAAATATTTTATTTTTATAGTGTGATCCGTTGCGTGCTAGTGTTTTTGAAAAAATTATCTAAAAGGAATTTACTGATAGTTTTTAAGTTTAATTTTCTTGTATGTGCATCTTTCTCTTTCCACATATGTTAATGCCTTAAACCATTCATGCAACTTATTCCAGTTTAATTTCAAGATCGAAACAATGTTCATCCTCTAATGATATGGTTGAAAGATCCACTATCTCGGTTTCAAGGGTTGTATGCACGGTGAATTTAAATATGAGTCATTTGTTAATTTGTTTTTTTTTTCATGAGTTTTTCAAAGATAGATTGTACCAATTGCCCTTTTTTATATTATTACCCATTTACACTTAATAGTTTAATTCATTTTGCTTTGTGTGCTACATCATATCTTAATTAATTCATTTATTCCTAGTTAGTTTTTATTTAGTTTTCTGGACCATACCTTAATTAGTATAATCTATACAATTTTCTATTTGAAGCAATGCTAAATATATGCTACAAATATATAATGCTCCAAGGATGTATTCAACGTTCACCATGAATTTTTAAGTGCATATGAAAATTTATTTAATTTCAACCATCAGTTTTATAAATTAATACAGATAATTTCCATTTGAATGTTTAGGAGAAAAATGAAAGTTAAAATATATGTTGGAATTTTGGAGAACTAGTTAGTGGCATAGTTGGATTGTGCCTCGATCATTTTTTTTTTTTGGTAAAAAACTTGTTAGTGCCTCGATCATTTGATGTAACGAAATGACTTTATTTATTTTTTGGTTATAGAAACAAATCATTGATAATCAAATGACTCATTCAAATATATCACAACGACATTTAAAAAATTGTGCCTGCAATAAACTTACTTATAGTTACATTTATTTATCCACTCACTTTTGGTTGACATTGGAATATTACATCTGCATTTCATTACTTGTCTCTTTTTTAAAAATTAGTCCTAAGATGAAGATATAACCCTTCGTTATGTACTTTTGCAGTTCGAATAGGGTTGGTCTATGTTCTATCTGGTTTCGGTGGAAGTTTGATGTCGGCTCTTTTCCTTGAGTTGGGTATTTCAGTTGGTGCTTCTGGTGCCCTTTTTGGTTTACTTGGTGCCATGCTTTCAGAGCTGATCACAAACTGGACAATATATGCAAATAAGGTAATATATTTGATCTCTAATTAGGGTTTGCTTATTGAGAATGTTAAGTTTTACTCTCTAGATGGTTAGGTAAAAATATTGTGAAATGTGGGTATACGCAGCTTGCAGCATTTTCGACCTTGGTCATCATCGTCTTACTAAATTTAGCAGTCGGGCTTCTCCCACATGTGGACAATTTTGCGCATATTGGAGGTTTCATCTCTGGCTTCCTTCTGGGTTTTATTTTCTTAATTCGACCGCAGTTTGGATGGGTTAGCCAAAAAACTTGTCCTCCAGGTTACATTGCACCCCCTGCGAAATCTAAATACAAGGCATATCAGTATGTGCTCCTTGCTATATCCTTGACACTTTTGATTACTGGGTAAGAATCTAGCATCACATTGTTTATGATTGAAAATGAGATGAGCATGTTCCAATAATAAGCTGAAGGGATATGTGCTATGAATTTTACATCCTTGCAGATTTGCCATCGGACTGTTGGATCTTTTTAAAGGAGTTAATGTGAATGAACATTGTCCTTGGTGTCAGTACATGACATGTGTGCCTACCCCATTATGGAGTTGCAAATCACCAGAAGTATATTGTCAGGTAATAGTATTTTATCCCCTCCAATGTTGAAGAGTTTGTTGATATTTAGTTTGTTATATAGTTTGTCATAATGCATCATATTGGTAGATAACATAAATAGTTAATTGAGAATCACTTGCGCGCGCATACACACGAGAGGAGTTCATATCAGTTGGTACACAACGGGTTCGAATTGGTGACTAGAGATATACTTATTGATTTAGGTGGTATTATGTTCGTACTACCAACTTGATTGTTACTATTTGTTTGGCCAAAATTTAAATACATTTTTGCTTCATTGCAGTCATCGCAGTTTGGACCTCAGTTGAATCTTACTTGCCTGTCTACTGGAAAAAGTGGCACATACATTCTTCCAGATGACAATCCTACCCATCTTCAAGTCTTATGCTCTCAACTTTGCCAATGAGATAGATGCTCGTTTAAACATCAAGTGTGTTTCTTTTGTAACAAATTTATGAGAGCTTCATATGCATTAGTAATATCACATTTATGTAATTTTTGTAGAAAAGTTCATTTTGTGGCTATTATTTTTTCTAGCAAGGAGTTGATTTATTTAGCTTTCGAGAAAAGAAATAGCTGATTGAAATCATGCTTTGACACATAAATTGCACTCCAAGTCTTAAACATAAGGCATATCATAAGAGTTTATTTAACAAGTGGGTGCTTCCATATAGGGCAGAAACTATGTCGAGCAGTGATTCCCAAATAATCGATAGCTCTATGGACTCCGCCGACTTCTAAAACAAAGGTTTTGTCATCTCATCTCAATTTTTTTGGTTGGATATATGGTTAGTAGAAGATACCCATACTCACATGGAGACTTTGAATTTTGGGGTAACATTTAGTTCAATTTTGACTAGATAACGAATGACTATAAGGTAGCTTTTGCATACATGTAATCGGACTGCCTATCCTCTTGATGAATGACTTGGGTGTACAGACTGTGGAATGATTTATGGAGGTGCCTTAACCATGACGAAGTAGAATGATTCATTGGGCGGTTTAGTAATGTTGGCCAAATAGTTCATGTTTTCAACTCGTGAGAGTCGAGGATCGAGAATATCATTGGTGGACTTATCTAAACATTCTTAGTGGTTTTTTCACATTGATTTCATTCGGCATGAGTATGGAATCACTCTGGGGAATCTGGACAATCCCCAATCCTGGAGGCATAACATATACAGGATATTAGCTCCATAAGACAAAAAAAAAAAAAAAAAAAAAAACGAGCGTGCTTTGATAGCATCTTACTTTGGTTACTAGTTTGAATATATTTATGAGGTGACGCTGGATGATTTCTTCTAAGTGTGGATGGTGTTGGAGGACATTGACTCGGGAGAGGAGAATACTTTGGGATATGGGTCGATAAATCTCTACCTCCTTGTTCCTTTGAAGACATTGAGTGTTGGAAGTACGCCAACTTGTTCACTCGAGAGATTCTTGAAGATCAATTTGTTTTGATTGATGAAGAGAAAGAAGAGTGGAGTAGTATCAACACTGACACTAAATTGTGCCCTTTAGAAGTGGTAACATATGTTCCTTCAAAATTTTCGTTATTTCGAGCATAGAAAAAACAGGTTTTGACTATTTCCCTAAATTTTGATGAAAATTTAGGGGTTTAGAACTTAGGTGATCACAAGGGTTATTTTTGTATTGGGATGGTGGCTGAAATTCTCTTTCTTAATTAACTAGAATTAAGAAGGAAAAATGGATGTGGACAATGAAGACGCTACGGCGAATCAAATGTTACCCAAAATAAAGTGATTTTGTCTACATATTACCTTAAAATTTTATACACTTACACCTAAACATCAAACAAACTATCTTCCCTTCCAATGGGCCGACACCCTTATCTATAAGTTGATTATGGGCCTGGAATTCGTTTCCAATTTCCCAGTCAAACCAAAACCGGATTGCTATCAATCCAATCCAATTTGTGGTTGTGGTGTGCACACAAAAAATCGGCCTGATACAATCCGGTTAAAACCAAAAACACTTGATAGTTAATTTGGGAAGAGATGCGAGGTCGACGACTTTGATTTTTTTTCTCTCAAGTCAATTTAAACATCACCGTTTGTAGTTAATTTGAGTGTGTTTACACCTAAAAAAAATTGGCCTTAAATATCGCCGGCGTTACGAGATTAACGACGTCGGTGAAAAACAATTTCAGCCATGTTGACAAAAAATGGTGTCGTTGAAAGACAAGCAATGCCGCGGTACTTGAAACGTCATTGTTTTAGTAGAAAACAATGTCGTGAGCGGCTTTGAATGTTGGTATTGGGGTTGGAAAAGGAGTGCTTTTTATTCCTTGTCGGAGAAGGATAAAAAACAACACTATTTAGAGTCAAGCAATGTCGTGAAGAGGTAAAACGGCATCGTGAAGCTCAACAACATCGCGGGACTGGAAAATGATGTTGTTTAACTAAGAACGACGCCGAGGGGTGAGAGTTTGACTGCGAGTCAACAGTGATGGACAGTTTAATTAATTAATATTTTTTATGATTATTTTGGACGGTGTCGTTTAGTTGAAAACGACGCCGCGAGAGGTATCAACAACACCGCGGATTAGAAAACGATAGTGTTTAATATAAAACAATGTCGCCGAGAAAAAGCAAATGAAGCTGTTTGGGGAAGAAAACGATACCATGTAGTTTGAAAACGACATCGCATGAGGTATTAGCAATACCGCGGTGGGGAGACAACGCTGCGAACTAAACAACATTGCGGTGGAAAGCGATGTCGCGGTTGCGAATTCAACGGCGTTGTGAGTTCAACAATGTCGTGAAATTCAACGATGTCGCAAGACCAAAAAAACATCACGGAGTTCAACGAGGCCGCGAGTTTCGACTTTGTGTGGTCAACGATGCCGAGAGATAAAAAATCTAGCGGCGAGTTTGCGGTGGCAAGGGTGAAATAACAATGTTATTTTAATCGATGGTGGTATCGTGATTCGAACCATGGTACAAAGTTGATGTGTGTGCAAGTGATTTTTACGCAAGCAAGATTGGAGAACGGATGCGAGGCAGTTGAAGACTACAACTTCGTGAAGAAGGATGTAGCACGTGGGAGAAAAAGGCGAAGCGGTTTCAGAGCGTGAAGACTACGAAAGTGATTTGATAAAATCAACTGTGCAAGGAGAGAGACGGGGAGAACAGAATCAACACAGAACAACTATATCCCAAACTTGTCTTTACTGTAACTCCTTCGCGGAGCTCTCCTTCCAGGAAGGATCTCCATAGTCGTAGCAGTAGTCATAGTCGCAGAGCTCTCCAAAGGAATCTCCATAGGAGTAGTTGTTAACGTATATTTCACAAAAAACTCAAACACCCTCGTTCGAACTTAGTTTGGAGAGGTGTGAACAGTGGCGGATCCAGGGGGTGGCCACCCCGGGCCGCGGCGCGGCCCAGCCCTTCCCTGGATCCGGAACTAATATAGCCCTTATTAGTTTATCGATTTTAGCCATTTGACCCATAATAAAATTGTGTATAATTAGGAAAATGGGTAAGATAAACATATTCAAATCAGAACTCTAAATTTAGTCTGAAAGTTCTAGCTCCAATGATTCTCATGTAAAGAAAAACAAACAATGAAACCTAAAACTCTAAAGCATAAAAGACTAAAAGAAATATGAGGCTTATTCCCTTAAGAAATTACTAGAGCAGCTGATGAAAATAGGAATTGACACACAATATATATTGATTAGTCGATTGATTTGTCCAGTGTTGACATTTGCGTAACAAAATAAGCGATGAATTTCTCGCCAATTGGTTAACTATTTTATCTTAAAGAGAGTATGCTATTGTGTGGATGTAAACTCCATTATTGATGAATTCACTATATTAAAGTTTTAAAGATCGACGTGTACAATTGAAACTGTGATTTTTTTACTATATCTAATTTTCTAATGAAATGAGGCCCAGTGCTCTACTGTGTCCTGGATCCGCCGCTGGGTGTGAACCGTAGTAACGGTCGTTCTTGCTAAGAAGTCAGAGGAGCACCGATCAAATCAACATCGCCCAGTGGATATTTGATGGTCGTCTTGGTCTCAGAGGTCAGAGTTGCACCGATCAAATCAACACCGCCCGGTTGATATTTGACGGCCGTCTTGATTTCAGCATTCAGTGGTGCGTTTGATCAAACATCACCGCAAGAGTTTCCACCGCGAAACTATAAAAATCAACACCGCGGAAACAAATTCGGCACCGGCAGTGGTATTTGGTTTTCGCGAGAAATAGAGTGTATCCGATTTTCTGGTCAAAACCTTATTGCATTCAATCCAGTTTGGTTAAAACCGGGTAACAATTCAATTTCGTCTTCGAACTGTGGGATTGTCCAATACGTTGTTAAAAAACTGGGTCAACACGGACTCGTTCAGTTCCACTGGTCCGCCTCAACCGCCCACCTCATCTCCTTGCACAACACCTTCTCCCATCTCAAGACTTTCCATATGTACAATATCATCGTCAAGAATCGGTCCTTCTTTGAAATTCGCCATCCCTAAACTTCATGCAGGTTTGATCAATTTGCTATTGTTTCAAGCTTGTGTGATGTCCTCTTTTCTTAGTTTGTGTTTCTTCTCTACGTGATCGATGGAAACTGTGTGATCACAGAGACAACAATATATGGAAAGTTTGGAATTTTGTTACGGTTACTAGAAATGATGTCCATGGCTCTTCCTTTTCTTCGGGACAGGTTACGGTGATTATTAAGGGTAAAATGAGTATGAAAAATAAATTATATTAATTAATTTTAATAATTTACATTTTAGGTAGTTACAAGAATCTATAATTACAATTCTCTCTCTTTCTCTCACTTCCATAATCTCCAGCCAGATCCCCTTTCCTTATTTTTCTCAATCTTTCTGGAAAAGGAAAAAACACGAAATCACTAACAATCCATTAGACAACCACTACCATTTCGAAAAATATCAATTCCATTGCAGAAATAAATCTATACCATTACACGAAAACTAGCAATAGAAACAATCTACCAATATAAATCTACACCAAGTCACAAAAAATAAATACCATTGCAGATTTAAATTAATACCAATCCGCTTAACAACTACTACCATTTCGGAAAACACCAATACCATTGCAGAAATAAATCAATACCATTAGGAAAAACAATACCATTACACTAAAACTACCAATATAAACAATCTATATCATTACAAAAGTCAAAACAATACCGTTGCAGAAATAAATCAATACCATTAAGAAAAACAAAACTACCATTTCATAAAATGAAACAAATAAACCAGTACCAAAAAAGTAAACCCAGATCTAGAGCATCTCCTAGAGAGAAACGAGAGAGAGAAACGAGAGAGACCTTGACCGGTAATGGCAGCAGGTGGCCGCTGAGTGAGAGAGAGAGGCCGTGGGAATGGACGAGGGTTGGGGGGGGGGGGGGGGGTAGCAGAGGAGGAAAGATGGTGGTAGGAGGGCGTGAGAGGGGAGGAGGGATTGGGTGGGGTGGCCGGAGGCTGGTGGTAGGAGAGTATGGGAGGGATGAAGGATGGAGTGGGGCGGCGGGCGGCGAACGCAGCGAAAGAGGGTGGGTGAGTTGCAGTAGGATTAGGGTTTGGGTACGATATATAGAGTAATCAGGTGTGGTACTTTTTTCATTTCCAAAATTACCCTTATTATAATCTTTACCGTTAATTTAAAAATAGCTTAAAATAAAGATAATGAAGGGTGGAGATTTTGGTAGCCACTGTGATTACTGAAAATTAAGTAATCATGCTAACCCATGCCCATTTTTTTCATCTCTTCAACCCCTTTGGAGTTTCGAATTGGATTTAATTTGGTATGGTTTGTCAACCCTTTATTTCTTTATCTCAACGAGTTGGGTCTATATGGACAATGACAGGAAGCTCCTCCATCTGCTACAAGATGGAGAACATATAGAGTTAGTACGGCTAACATAGGGGTGTCTTCTTTTAAAAAATAAATTTAATAAAAATAAAATAATTAATAAAAATAAAATTGTAAATAAGAAAATAGCTTACTCATACAGCTTTAAAAAGTCCATTATGTGTTCTCATATTCTGCAATAATTGTAGAATACAGTTGGTGTCTACAATATTAAAAAAAAACAATTGTCTCTATATAGCCTACTAGACAATCATTCATGAACTTATCGCATATTCGATTTGTAAACTTGTTCTTGATGTAACCCAATGCTGAAAGAATCTTTCAACACTTGTCGTACAACCATAAAATCAATAAAAATTAAGGATAGGTTGAAATTAGTTTAATTGCTAGGTTTTGAAAATAATTAGAAATACGGAATGACATTTTACTATGATACCGGGTTCAAAACCAAACAACAAATGAGTTGTAGTTTAATGGAAATTAAGTTTGTTAATAATAATAGTGCTCTAGGTTTGAATTATCCAACCTACCACTTATATTCCCATACACAAATTTTAAAAAATGAAATTAGAATTATCATTTTTTCAAATTTCAGGAGTGTCGCTCACTATTAATTATAAATATTTTATCCATACATAAATTACTACCGTGGGTTGAATAATTGTTTTTCCAAAATTTAGTGGTGTCCGGGACACCCCTAAAGCTCTGTGCGTCCGCCCCTAACTTAATTTCCCACTTACATGTTTTCCTCTTCGACTAGATTTCTTCTACCTATATAGCACAAGAACGAAGAACAGATGTACATTGTTTTATCGTTTGGTAATTTAGTAGCTAATCTTTTTTAAGACTCATAATTAGCATGCATTCTGCTAATCTGCTAGCAATAATGCTTCAACAGTAGTCTGATAAACGGAGTTCATGCAAAAGCGTCTAATCATGATCATCAACAACTAACACTGCTAGCTAGCTAGCTTCCTTTACAAAAAGTAGTCGTACACTCTAGGCAGTGAGCGCTGGAATGTTTTGTCAAAATGAGATTGGTGCTGCTGTCTTGTGCTGGCACAGACAGCTTGCCTCTGCGGTCGCATAGTATATCATGTGAGTGCATGCGTTTACGCGGGAAGTCCCATTCTCCACGTCGGCAGAACTGCTTGCTTTTTCAGTTTTCTTGACAACCATCTCTCTTGTTGACTTCTCTTTTATTTTTATTATTTTGGTCGAAGACTTCTCTTTTATTGGGTGGATGAACTCTTTTGCTCTTTTAGCTGGCTAACTAAGGTTGTAGCCTGTTGTTTTCCGACGAGGACAATCTGGTGTTTGAACTCAATAAATACATCTTTGACTTCTTGAACAATGATAATTGCACGGTTCACTCCTCTCCGAACAATATTCGAACGAGGGTGTTTGAAGATTTTGATGGTTTTTTGAGAACAAGCTTCGTTAATTACTCCTACTCCTATGGAGGTTCAGTGAGAGCTCCGAAAACTAAGGTTGTGGCTAATTTGCAGAGAAAAGGATAAAGTTTGACATTGTGCGTCAAATGTTTGGTTGTGGAACCCTTGCTTCGTTTTCGTTTCTCCTATTTATAGCCATCCCTTGTAACCGTCGTGCAACCGCCTCTTGGTAACCGCTGCTCCACTGCTTGGTGCTTGATGTAGCTTGCTTGACGCCTTGACTGTCTTGCGCGCTTGCCACTTGATGACTTCACTTGATAGCTAACCCATTGTGCCATGGAGGTGTCTTGTTTGGTGAGTGAAGGCTTCACGCTTGGTGGTACTCGTGCTAACCACCTTGACATGATGTCATGCTCGACACCAGGGTGCTTGGGGGATGGATGCACACTGACCCCCTTGGGTTGGCATCATGCTTGTAGGGTCTTGACAAGGTGGTCTACCATGTGATGATATACATGGCTGACTACTTAGAAACTTGATGACCTTGCACGAGACCTAGCACGCCTGCTCTGCTTGGGTAATTGAGAGGTGAGTGTCAAAGCAATGCCGACACCAACTTTCCTGGCACGATATCATGCTTGACATCCTAGTGTTTGGTATTCGGTGCTTGACCCCCTTGGACGGTGTCATGCTTGACCCCCCTTGTGGTTGGATCTCCATACTTAAGCCAATTTTCACCTCGGCATCATGCTTGACACCCTAGTGCAAGGTAGGTGGCTACGATACTTGGTGCTTGACTCCCTTGGACGATGTCATGCATGACCCCCCTTGCACGATGTCATGCTTGACCCCCTCCCCCCCAGTGGTTGGGTCTCCATACTTAGCCAAATTTCAGCTTTCTTCATCACCATGGTCTAGGGACTCGCGTTGCCCTTCTTCCCTTGCCAACATGCTTGATACCCAGTAGGCGGCTAGACCCCCTTGTGTCTCGTCATACTCGACTCACCTTGGATGGCATCATGCTTAAACCCCCTTGGGATGATGTCATGCTTGACCCCCTTTGTGTTGTGGGTCTCAACACTCAGCCAAATTTTGGCTTTTTCGCCACCACATTTAGGGACTCGCGTCACCTGGGAAGAGGTATAGTGCTTAACCCCGCTTGCGTCACATGGGAAGAGGTATAGCACTTGACACTTGATCCCCCTTGCGTGACGGGTGGGTGTTTGGTGGGTCAAGTGGTGTGTGTTGAGGTACCTGGTATGAAGCCCAAAATACCATTATTTAGGCCCAGCCTAAACCAATTTAATTAACATGGTTAAGTTGGCCTTATAAATCACTACCACTCCTTGAAAATAAACAATGTGGTATTGAGTGATTTTTTAGTGGCAAACAAATGCCCCCCAACTACACCACTAAAAAATATGCTCGTGGGTTTTATTAATAAAAACCAAAACGCACTAAACCACCCCCTGCAGCATATCCAACCGTAATTAGCATTGGCCTTGATAATTAAAAGGCCAAAATCAATCACTGTCTCCACTATTCTATCCCAACACGCCCTTCGTGTCATGGCTAGCTATGCAAGCTCTGTCCACAAAGAGGGTGTCATGTCATGCCTACCATCATGATGGTTGGTTAACTTTGAACTCGTTGATACCCCTTGCCCAAAGAAAAAAAATACATAAGGCTTGAGATACTTGCAATGATCAATTGATCATGTAGCACCCGATCCTCTTTCAACAACTATGCATCCTTAGACAGGTGGCATGGAAGGTACACGTTCCATGACGGACAGCCAGTCAACTACTCATGCCATGAAGTGGCATAGTGCACTCAAACGAGCGTAAGGGGCTCCATAGACCCAACCACCTGACTGGTTGTTTACCAGTCATGGCAAAGTCTTCACATCGCAAGTGTTACAACTCTAATTTCTTTTTTTAGCCATGATTGGCTTTTTTATCTTATTTTACTAGTATTTGTTTATTTAATATAGCAAAGAGTGACATGCATCACTGTTCTCCATACCCTTTAGCCACCACAAACGTGCCAAAGGTGTATACCCACTGCCAAGTCCATGGATTAAACCAGAAAAGTCATCCATAGACCACATGTCTAGTCTCCTTAGAAAGAGATGGCTCCTTATCAGTTGGTTTTGAATTTCCCAACTCAACCATGGATTGTGCCCGGTCCACTTGTCTTTCCCTGGTGGCCTTGTAGGGGGTCTCACGATCCTCTACCTTAGCCACCTTGCTAGACATGTTGGGTTGATGTTGAACCTGATGTGCTTGTCTCGTTTCTGGTGATACTCTAGGTATTCTTAACTCATTGGGCTCATGAAAGAGACCACGAGTTTTTATATTCCTTGGTTCACCGCATCCATGCTTGTTCATCCCATATAGTTGGGAAGAGGAGTGGTTGGACTCAACAAATCGATGAACACCCTTGTGGCCAACATGGCCCTGTTCAGCCCTTACGCCTTGCTGACTTCTACACGTAGTACATAACGACTTCTGGTTCTTTGTATGAACATGTTTGGTTATTGTATGCCGAGATGTCTTATTCATGCCCCCTTGTCTGCCATTCATGTTTGGCATGCCATGAGGGCTGTTAAGCATGAACTTTCATCTTTCTCCATCCATTAACACACTCTCGTGATGGTGAAAATCATAGAGGGCTTGAGTGTAATGAACACTCCTAGACTTGCCCCCACTCGTTTCTTCACTTTTGGTGACATGCACCCCTGTCCATTGGTTGGATACATGCCCCTCATACCCTTGCTCATGGTTGTTGACGCGCCCCCCTTGCCAGACTTAGCCATATTAGCATGCTTACTAAAAGCATGTGTGGCTTCATGTTGTGGCTTATTAGGCACACTTATTAACTTATTGGTTCTGGTTTATGACATGTCTCCCTTGCCAAACTTAGTCATATTAGTATGCTTACTAAAAACATGTGTGGTTTCATGTTGTGGCTTCTTCGGTATGTCTATCTATCTATTGTTAGTGGTTAGTGACATGCCCCTTTGTCGACCATTCATGGGTGGCATGCTACAAGGGGCCTTGCCTCCGTGTCCACTCTTTGACACGTTGTTAAAGTTATGAAAAACATTGGTGGTATGTGTATCCAACACCTGCTTAGACTTGCCACGCACTCCACTCATCATGTTTGATGGCATGCCCCCCTGTCCGCTGCATGGAGATAGAGACATGCCATTCTTGCCACACTTTGATGAAAAATGTGGTGAGTCCTCAAACAAAGTTCTTTTTCCATTTTCCTTGACGTCAACGTGCCCCCCATCCTGATATTTCACCCTCAACTTGTCAGGTGGTAGGCTTTCATACCCCTCTGCCTGCCCCCCTCGCGGTTTGCATCCACCAGGCTTGATGGGCGTGGATAGCAGTGGTGATGGACAAGCTTGTGGGAACACATTTGTAGTGAGTGACCCTGCACCAACTTTCACATTAAGGCATGGTCTAGCCTCTAGGGCAGTTTCTAAAGTAATTGTCTGTATAGGCAATTTCTTAACGTGAGTGGTGAACGTGGGAGCGAGATTCTTGCCACAAGCACCATGCTGAAGAGGTGGTTGACTTGTCACCGGAGATGATGAGTTCTCTGACCGTGGCTGAGTAGTCCAGCCACCGAAGTCTAGAATTCTGGTATACCCGGTAGCAACGTTTGATGGTCGATCTACACCATATTTCGCCAAAACCTTTGATCTCAAAACTGGTTTCATCAAAAGTTGGAGAAACTTCTTACAATTATTTTCATTTATCTCACAAATCTCATCCAGTTGATCCAAACGTCGATTTAGACGAGTATGGAAATAATCAAGTTGAGATACAATTTTTTTTGTGTATCCCACCATAGCCTCCTCCATTAATTGCATTTCTACCACCAGTGACTGGTCGAGAGACAAAGTGGTGGTGGTTACACCCAAACATGGTGCCGGAGAAGGCTGACCAGTTGCCCCACCATTGTTTCCGGCGTCACTTATTGCTAATTGTCCAAGATCATACCTAGCCACTAGCTATTTTATAAATCCAGGTGAAAGATCACCTTCTTGTTCTCTCAGTCGTGGAGCCATCAAATCAATCACAAGTGTCCCACTAGGTGTGCCAATTTGTTTTCCGGCGAGGAAAATCTAGTGTTTGAACTCAATAAATGCACCTTTGACTTCTTGAACAACGATAATTACACGGTTCACTCCTCTCCAAACAATGATTGAACGAGGGTGGTTGATGATTTTGATGAGTTTTTTGGGAACAAGCAACGTTAATTACTCCTACTCCTATGGAGGTTCAGTGAGAGCTCTGAAAACTAAGGCTATGGCTAATTTGCAGAGAAAAGGATAAAGTTTGACAATGTGCGTCAAATTTTTGGTTTTGGAACCCTTGCTTTGTTTTTCTTTCTCCTATTTATAGCCATCCCTTTTAACCGTCGTGCAACCGCCTCTTGGTAACCGCTGCTCCACTGCTTGGTGCTTGATGTAGCTTGCTTGACGCCTTGACTGTCTTGCGCGTTTGCCACTTGATGACTTCACTTGATAGCTAACCCCTTGTGCCATGGAGGTGTCTTGTTTGGTGAGTGAAGGCTTCATGCTTGGTGGTACTCGTGCTAACCACCTTGACATGATGTCATGCTCGACACCAGGGTGCTTGGGGGATGGATGCACACTGACCCCCTTGGGTTGGCATCATGCTTGTAGGGTCTTGACAAGGTGGTATACCATGTGATGATATACATGGCTGACTACTTAGAAACTTGATGATCTTGCATGAGAGACCTAGCATGCCTGCTCTGCTTGGGTACTTGATAGGTGAGTTTCAAAGCAATGCCGACACCAACTTTCCTTGCACGATATCATGCTTGACATCCTAGTGTTTGGTATCCGGTGCTTGACCCCCTTGGACGGTGTCATGCATGACCCCCCTTGGACGATGTCATGCATGAACTCCCTTGCACGATGTCATGCTTGACCCCCCTGGAGGTTGGGTCTCCATACATTGCCAAATTTCAGCTTTCTTCACCACCATGGTCTAGGGACTCGTGTGGCCCTTCTTCCCTTGCCAACATGCTTGATACCTAGTAGGCGGCTAGACCCCCTTGCGTCTCGTCATACTCGACTAACCTTGGATGGCATCATGCTTGACCTCCCTTGGGATGATGTCATGCTTGACCCCCTTTGTGTTGTGGGTCTCAACACTTAGCCAAATTTTGGCTTTTTCGCCACCACGTATAGGGACTCGCGTCACCTGGGAAGAGGTATAGTGTTTGACCCCGCTTGTGTCACCTAGGAAGAGGTATAGTGCATGACCCCTCTTGCATGACATCATGCTTGACCCCCCCGGTGGTTAGGTCTCGACACTTAGCCAAATTTTGGCTCTCTTTGCCACCACGGTTGAAGGGTGTCAACGCTTGGCACTTGACCCCCCTTGCGTGACAGGTGGGTGTTTGGTGGGTCAAGTGGTGTGTGTTGAGGTACCTGGTATGAAGCCCAAAATACCATTATTTAGGCCCAGCCTAAACCAATTAATTAACATGGTTAAATTGACCTTATAATTCACTATCACTCCTTAAAAATAATCAATGTGGTCTTGAGTGATTTTTTAGTGGTAAATACCTGTGTATATACCTACAACTCTAACCCCTGTATTTTTAATTTGGTTGTTATGCAGAGCAGCTTATAGATACATCTATATATACGATGGTGTATTCTGTGCACTCTTTTTTTTTTGCGCATTTAAAGCACTCGTCTCATAATTGTCATTTCGTGAATGCGATTCATGTCAACACGGTATCAATCGTCGCTAATGAAGTTATGAACAAGAAACACATGAATTTGAAAAAAAAAACTAAAACAAGATTTACTTTAATTTGAAGAATTTAGGATTTAGAGATTTCCAAGCTGAACCCACTGAACATAGAAAACAACCATCTCACATATCAAATTGGGATCCCAAGCAGCAAACTCCAAAGCCCTCGATGAGCAAGCCCTAAAATGGTAAACCTAAAAAACGAAACGAAGAGACAAGCTCAACTGGAGATGGAGATGGAAGGCTACAACGGCTAGAAAGGAGAGAAAATGACTGGAAATTTCCAATGAAATCAACCCAAAGCAAAGGCAAACTGCGGGAAAAAAGAAAAAAAGCATTAAAATGGGTTGACGCCGATCACCAGAAGCTGTCGGTGGCCACCCCCCTATAAGAAGAAAGCGAAAGCAACTATGAGAGAAGAGAGCGCAATTTTTGGGGAAAAAATATAGTGAAAGAAGGGAAAGAAAAGGGTTATATATATCTTGCATTACATTAGCATAAAACACTACCTAGATATGTTTATCTCTTACACCTGAAGTCTCCTTCATTCTCCTTCACTTATCCAAATAATATTTTATAAATAAAGACAATCAACATCAATATTTTGAGAAAAAATTAAACAATATATTTCGAGAATTGAAGATAAGATTGTTTGGGATGGTGCAAGTGAAATTTCTTCAAACTGCATATGGGTTGATTTGGAAATACCACATCACAAATTCCACTATCCCTATCCCTTGACAAACATGATATTTGGGTAAAAATACCACAACATCAAATAAGATGTATTATGATATTTAGTAATTAAGTCTGTGATATTTTACTCAAATACCACATTTCACAATTTATCAATGTTGACATAACAAACATGTCGCACTTTATTGGTTTAACCGATATTAGATAATTAAACAACCGTTAACTAAAAAAATTGGGCTAATGCCACTGGAAATACCAATATTTAGTGCAAGTGTCATTATATTACGTAACTTCAATAAATACAAAAATATTCCAACATATTAAGTGTTTGCGTCATTTGTGTTAAGCAAAGTTTTGTTGACCGTAAGAACTAACAGTTGACCTAACGGCGGTCACCCTTTGACTAATCATTGATGAAGTGGCACCTATGTGAAGTAAAATTTCACTGGATTGATTGTCTTCAACCAATCTAAACCCAACACTGAATCATTTGATCCCAGACTCAAAATTCTCATATCATAGATAAACTTTTGTCCTTGAATTTCCCAACAAAACTCCTTGCACACCAAGTTGCTAATGAACATGGTACCATCTGCTAATTTAACTCTCAAAGGATTAGGGGCCTGAACCAACTAACATTTGAGATCCCTTGCCTTCTTTTCACTGAAAAAGTATGAGTGCTACCCATGTGAATTAGTATGAAAATATTTTCCTTCTTAACCTTACACTTGACAATTAAGGAATTGGACAGTCCCCCACTACTCAGAGCCTACATATATACTTCGACCAATTCTGGTTGCGTTGAATCCGTTTTTGGTTCTTCCATATCCTCCTCATCCATTACACTCCATTCTTTAGGAACAACATCTTCATCATTAGCCTACAACACATTAAGTTGCTTTTTGCTTCACATACATGCTCGTAATAGTACTTATCACAACACTTGTAACAAGTTCCTCTAGCCGCATTCCCTTTTGGATTCAGTATTGGTGGTTTAACACTTCCTGGAGGTCGAGAATTGGAGCCCTGCCATATTTTGGGAGATGGGCTTTTGTTACTGTTGGATGTAGCCATGGGACAAAAATTAGTATTGGTATTACTATGCCACTTCTTCCGTCGAGCCTCATTCGAGGCTTCCTCTAACTGTGCCAATTGAAAAGCATCCGCTAAAGACTACGGATTCCATATCGTCATTACTAGCTAGAGTTCCTCCACCAATCCACTGATAAAACTACTGATGAGTAGATCTAATCTAAAGTTGGATTAAATCTAGCCATTAAGGACCTTAGTTCCTTGAATTTCTCCTATGTAATCCGCTAAAGATTCTCACTACCTGAGTTTATTGAACTTAGCTATCACAATTCACACCACCATTAGTACGATTACCAAATCACTGGCACAAAGCAGCCACAAATTCCTCCCATACTAATTCACGTTCCCATATTTCCAACCTTTAAACCAAATATCCGCTCGACATTCGAAATAAATCCTACAGGTTCGTTCAAGCTCCTAGTCTAATGGTAGTGAATCTCCCGACTAGCTACGGGTCATGCACTACCTGCACAGAATCAGCAAAGGCAACCCGTGAAGGCACACAGGTGGAAGAGAGAAAATGAAGTAAAGAAAAAGCTAGAGTAACAAACTTTCACGTTTCTCCAATAACCTAGAAGGTCCCCGGCAACGGCGCCAAAAACTTGACACGCTACGACACAACACCAAACTGCAACCAAGTGCAATCGCAGTCCGGGAATGCAGTAAAGTGGCAAGTTCTAATTATCAACCAGGGGTCTAGATCTACTGCCTACTCCCTGAATATCTATTATCTAACCAACTAAGTTGATTGATTGTGGCTTTAATTAAAAGCAATAAGAAAGCAGGAATTGATTCGGTTTTCTAAAGCAGAGGAAGAGTCACTCGGGAATGAGTCCCCCTAGCTCCTTAGTTAGGTCGCAGTTGTAATTACCCTGGGTTGATTACTGTTGATTAAACTGCGGAAGATCCGACAGTAGCTTGGAATCTCTTAAGCTGACCAAGCCCTCTCAGACAGGCAAACCGGCAGGCGACTAACCTTCACCAGGATAGACTGCTGAGGCGATAAGTACAGAACTCCACTACTGGAATCGGGTTCCAGTACAAAGCAGTGAATCGAACTCTTATATAATCGATTCACTACTACCGATTGAAGAAGCTCTAACAACCTAATCAGATTCTATCTATCTCAGGTTCCAGCAGAAATCAAGAAAAGATGATCAGACTTCAATTGACTCAATAAATAATGCATCAATCGATTAAAATCAATCAGTGCAACAATCCCAAGTCATTACAATCATGATCCCTAACACATGGAACTAGGGTTCTTCATACCCAAGTGAAATAGAGTTCTACTCCATAGAGAGAGAGGAAAACAGCAAACAAAGCAGTCATACTCATCAAGATGGGAAGAATCTGCTCTGGGATGTCAATCTTCACTCCAAGGATGATTTCCAAGCTTGATTGATGAAACCCAGCTCCAAAACCACTCTTAGGAGGTGTTCTTCGCACTTTCTCTCTCTAGGGCTCTGTTTTTCCTCTGAAAAGTCGATCCCCTCTTTTTGCTCGAATTTGGGTTAAAATCCAGAAAATCCTGACCACACGGGCAGGCCACACGGCCGTGTGGCTTTCCCAGCTGCCCGTGTGAGTGTCAAAACGCCGAGTTTCGATTAAGTGATTTCCAGCCATCCTACACGGCCACAACCACACGGCCGTGTGGATTTCCAGGATGCCCGTGTGAGTTCCCTGGAATTTGCACACGGCCACATGGGTTCCCTTACACGGCCATGTGGCTTTTAGGCATGCCCGTGTGGCTTCTCAGCTTCTCGCCAAACGTCCAAACTTCGTCTAATCGACCCCAAACTCGTTCCCAAACCTTCATTCACGTACTAGGACCTGAAATATCACAATTCACAAACAAGCACAACCTAGCGTGAAATCGGCCTAAAACACGAGAATCGACATCTCAAACGGTTCAAGAATAGGGGTAAAAACATGTGCAATCAACGGTCTATCAATGTCGATCCTTCACCTCGGCCATGATAGCTTTGACCTTGATATCTGGTTGTGCTTCGATAAGGTGTTTAATAGTTCTCCCAATTTTCTTTGCTTTAAGTTGCCTGTGATCCTGGGAACGTATGGACGAGGAGCAAGTGTGGTTGGTCTCGGCTTTTCGAATCACCCAGGCACGCTTTCTCTTCATATTTACAGCCCGCAGTTGCCACGTACAGGCCTCTACATCATTCTCTTAATATTTAAAAATAAGGCACACAAGGTTTATAAGACAAAGCAGGAAAATTAATAGATTTAACTAGAAAAAAATAATAATAAAATAGTAAGCTTAAAATTGCCGCCTACCAAGATGGAAGCTGTTACCCTTTGGTTGTAACAAAACATCATCTCCGCTAGGCTGTAACCTATCATGATAACAATTCTTCAATCGGGTTTTATCTATATGCTACATTAAATTTATACGTAATTATCGGAATTTTCTACGACTTTATACGTAAGTTTTAAAATTCTGGGGGGGGGGGGGGGGGGGGGGGGAGGGGGAGGGGGGGGCCTCCGCCCCTGTCCGTGGCTCTCCCTTTTCTTCGGGACAAGTTATGATGATTACTAAGGGTAAATAAGTATAAAAATAAATTATATTAATTAATTTTAATAATTTACATTTTAGGTAGTTACAATCTATTAATTACAATTCTCTCTTTTTCTCACTTCTATAATCTCCTGCCAGATCCCCTTTCCTTATTTTTCTCAATCTTTCTGCAAAAGAAAAACACACGAAATCATTACCAATCCATTAGACAACCACTACCATTTCGAAAAATATCAATACCATTGCAGAAATAAATCTATACCATTACACGAAAACAACCAATATAAACAATCTACCAATATGAATCTATACCATTTCACAAAAAATAAATACTATTGCAGATTTAAATTGATACCAATCCGCTAGACAACCACTACCATTTCGAAAAACACCAATACCATTGCAGAAATAAATCAATACCATTAGGGAAAACAATACAATTACACTAAAACTACCAATATAAACAATCTATATCATTACAAAAATCAAAACAATACCATTTCAGACATAAATCAATACCAGTAAGACAAAAAAACTACCATTTCATAAAATGAAACAAATAAACCAATACCAAAAAAGTAAACCCAGATCTAGAGCCTCTCCTAGATATATAGAGAGAGAGAGAGACAGGAGCGGAGACCTTGACCGGTAATGGCAGCAGGTGGCCGCTGAGTGAGAGAGAGAGGGCGTGGGAATGGAGGAGGGTTGGGGTGGGGCGGCGGGGGGTAGCAGAGGAGGAAGGGTGGTGGTAGGAGGGCGTGAGAGGGGAGGAGGGATTGGGTGGTGGTAGGAGAGTATGGGAGGGGAGGAGGGATGGAGTGGGGCGGCGGCCGGCTAACGCAGCGAAAGCGAGGCCAGCTAAAGAAAGCTGGTGTCAGACATAGCTTTGTCATGTGAAGTAAATGGTGAATCAGCGAAAAAGCTTTGCCATATGAAAACAATGACGCAGTTGTCAGTAACTTTTTAGATGAATGGTCCCCCGAACGAGTCAGAGGAGCCAACTAATGGGAGCTTGTCTTAGAGATAGCTTGGCCATGTGAATAAAATTGGCAGAATTGTCAGTTGCTTTTCAAATCAAAGGTGATGAATGGTTCCCAAACTTCTCTATAAAAAAAAAGTCCCCGAACGAATCAGAAACCAACTAATGGGAGCTTGTCTCTGAGATAGCTTGGCCATGTGAATAAAATTGGCCCGAATCAATTGTCAGTCGCTTTTCAAATCAATGGTCTCAATCGAACCTGGACATCCAGATTGTAGGGCCAGTCATTCAAACAGTGAAGGTGATCATTTAATACCAAATTTCAGGGATCTGTCTCCTCTAGAGATACTGGTTTGGAGATTAATATTTTAAAAATAAGGCACATTTGGGGTCTACCGATTCCTCCCGTCTGATCACAGAGACAACAGTATATGGAAAGTTTGGAATTTTGTTCCGGTTACTAGAAATGATGTCCATGGCCAGGGGTGGAGCTAGGATTTAATGTTGGCCGGGGGGAGTAACTTAGCACATTATCGCCAAAATACTAAAAAATAAAGATATATATAAGTATATAACATTAATTAAAATAATCAAAAGCACTCAAAATAGAATTAATTTTAAGTTTTTCTAGTATGCTATGCTCAAAGTAAATGATTATACTACGGAAAAAAGTATCATGTAACATTTTCCATATTATTATACTTTGAAATGATGTCCATGGCCAGGGGTGGAGCTAGGATTTAATGTTGGGGGGCGGACTAACTTAGCACATTATCGCAAAAATACTAAAAAATAAATAAATAAATAAATATATATATATATATATATAAGTATATAACATATAACATTAATAAAAATAATCTAAAGCACTCAAAATAGAATTAATTTTAAGTTTTTCTAGTATGCTATGCTCAAATTAGATGATTATACTACGGAAAAAAGTATCATGTAACATTTTCCATATTATTATACTTTGAAATGATGTCCATGGCTAGGGGTGGAGCTAGGATTTAATGTTCGGGAGAGGGGGGACTAACTTAGCACATTATTGCCAAAATACTAAAAAATAAAGATATATATAAGTATATAACATTAATTAAAATAATCAAAAGCACTCAAACTAGAATTAATTTTAAGTTTTTCTAGTATGCTATGCTCAAAGTAGAAGATTATACTACGGAAAAATATATATATAAATATATATAAAAAATTATATAACATATAAAATTAATTAAAATAATCAAAAGCACTCAAAATAGAATTAATTTTAAGTTTTTCTAGTTTGCTATGCTCAAAGTAGATGATTATACTATGGAAAAAAGTATCATGTAACATTTTCCATATTATTATACTTTGAATATGATTTTATGATTATATTAATGTTTGTACAAATTAATTAATTATCCAAAGAAAAATTCTTGAAAATATGAATGTAGAAATTTAAGAAAAAGTAAGGTTTATAAGACAAAGCAGGAAAATTAATAGATTTAACTGGAAAAAAATAATAATAAAATAGTAAGATTAAAATTGCCGCCTACCAAGATCGAAACTATTACCCTTTGGTTGTAACAAAACATCATCTCCGCTACGCTGTAACCTATCATGATAACAATTTTTCAATCGGGTTTTATCTATATGCTACATTAAATTTATACGTAATTATCGGAATTTTCTATGACTTTATACGTAAGTTTTAAAATTCTCGGGGGGGAGGGCCCCTCCGATAGCCTACATAGCTCCGCCCCTGTCCATGGCTCTCCCTTTTCTTCGGGACAGGTTACAGTGATTACTAAGGGTAAATTGAGTATGAAAAATAAATTGTATTAATTAATTTTAATAATTTACATTTTAGGTAATTACAAGAATCTATTAATTAAAATTCTCTCTCTTTCTCTCACTTCCATAATCTCCAGCCAGATCCCCCTTCCTTATTTTTCTCAATCTTTCCTCAAAAGAAAAAGACACGAAATCACTACCAATCCATTAGACAACCACTACCATTTCGAAAAATATCAATACCATTGCAGAAATAAATCTATACCATTACACGAAAACTACCAATATAAACACTCTACCAATATGAATCTATACCATTTCACAAAAAATAAATACCATTGCAGATTTAAATTAATACCAATCCGCTAGACAACCACTACCATTTCGCTAAACACCAATACCATTGCAGAAATAAATCAATAGCATTAGAAAAAACAATACCATTGGGAGGGCGCGGTTTCTCTTTGGGCAAAATTACCCGACCGCCCCTAGAGGGTGCGGTCTGTTGGGTATAAATACCCCCCCTTCCCCTCTCATTTCTTCACACCACAACCCATTCTTCCTTCTCTCTCTAGAATTTATCTCTCTAAACCCTCCCCTCCCAAAAGCCTAGGAAATAGTGGTTTGTTGGTTGCGGCTAAGTCCGATCTGCCACCAGAAAACATTTCTTAGGTTTTTTCCTCAAAACCTGCCGAGCCGAATCTCTGTCCGAATTTGCCGAAAAAATGACCGATTGGTGGCAAGGAGAGGGAGTTTATGTTGATGAATTTCAAGCGGTACGTACTCATTATTCTGGTTTAATTTTTGTTGTTGTTATAAGCTTTTTAATTAATCTATGTACTAACTTTGTTGTTATTTTCTCGTAGGTTGGGGAGGACGTGGATATATACAACCAACGGTATTATCTCGAGCAAGGACCGTTGGATCCAACCGACTTGTACGACTAACCCAACCATCGGTCAAGGGATGTTTGGAACGCTCACCCGGTACATACAATTCTTTACCATTTGTCCTTCTTTTATTTTGTTAATGTATTTAGCGGAATATAAAAGAAATTTATGTTGAATTTTTAATCGTGTTGATTGTTTTCAATAATCTAATCGTATACATAGCGCCACTTACTTCGACTCTTTATAAAGAGATGCACGTCTAAGGAAATGGGGTTTTAAGCGATTATCATATCCTCCTATTCCCTGGGAAAATCGGGTATTAAGAAATCCTCGGATCCCCCTTTTTCTGTCAAAAAGACTGCGTTTCTAAGAAGATGTAATCCTCTTCTAAGAGTCTAACGAGTGTTTTTTTTGTAGTCGATTAAATTATTTAAAACAACCAATACGATTAAATTATTTACCAAACAACCAATACGATTTATTTTGATGTGTACAAAATGAATTTTATTAATTTCAAACATTTGAATATGTATGTTTCTCTTTAAATTATTATTCATTAACAATGTCATTTATTTTAGTTAATATAGTATGTTTGTTTTACGATAATATGTATGTATCTCTTTAAATTATTATTCATTTAGAATGTTAATATGTTAATTAATTTAGGATGTTTGTTTTATGATAATATGTATGTATCTCTTTAAATTATTATTAATTTAGAATGTCATTATGTTAATTATATGAAATGTCTTTTTATGATAATAAAATTCTGCTTGAAGTTAAATAATTTAGTTATAAGGAGAAAACCCTTACTAATATATAATAATTAACGTGTAAATTTTCCCTAGGAGGCACAAACAATAATCCGCTACAGGGGTACGACCAATGTGCTCCCATTCCACCCAGCTATCTTGCCCTTTCTCAAAAGGGCACGGTTGGACCCGATTAGGCATTTTAACGGCATCAAAGTTGATCGCCAACTCATCATCGCATTAGTTGAGAGATGGAGAAAGGAGACCCATTGTTTCAACTTTAGAGAAGGAGAGGCCACCATCACGCTAAAGGATGTTGCCATCCTAACCCATCTGCCCATCGACGGCAAAGCGGTGTGCGTGAGTGATCACCCCCCCGAGGATTGTGACGGTAATGCCCGGTTGGGTTCATTTCATCCACAGTGTTTTGGGAGTGAAAGTACCAGTGAAGGGGTGCGTTGATGCGACCGATCGCATGCCACAAATGAGGAAACACCAAGTCTCAATTACTTGGTTGACGAAGTATTTTAGAGACCATTACGAGAGTCATCCCCTAACCGAGGAAAGTCTGGAGGATGGGAAGGAGAGATATGCTCGGGTCTATCTCATAGGCATGATCGGAGGAGTGTTCTTCTCCAAAAAATCAAGCAATCTCCTTAGTTGTGGATGGCTTCGGATCATCCTCGGTAGTTGGGAGGAGATGGGGGAGTATAGCTGGGCATCCGCTTGGCTAGCTAATATCTACCACAACTTGTGCAATGCGTCTATAAAAGCTGTGAGGGAGGTCGGCGGCGCAATGTTCATCGTCCAATTTTGGGCTTGGGAGCATATGCCATGGATTGCACCGGTACAACGTCCCAACAGGGATTGGCCAATCGATCATCCCCTAAGAAAGGAAGCTTATGGTACAAGGTAAACTTCTCATACCCCATCATGTTTTTTTCATAACACATTTTCCCTTGTGTTTTAGCTTATTGTAGTTTCATTATTGTCTTTTTAATAAGGTGGCTCGGACACACAACTTGCGACAACCTTGCCCAACACAAGTTGGCGAGTATCGGAGGAGGTTTGAGCGACTTTGGGAAGGAGAGGTAACTTCTATACTTCGATCCATTTATATCTTTTTTCCATGGACTACATGTATTTTTCCAATTCTTACTATCTTAAGTTACTCATTTCTTTCTTGTAGATCATCTTCGATCCATACCCGGAGAACATCGTTCATTGGCATCTCCAGCAATTCCCCAAGCATATCAGGCAATGGTGCACGAGGGTCCCTCTAATTTGTTTTGGGACCATGGAGTGGCACTTGCCGGATCGATGCCTCCGTCAGTTTGGTCGGGAGTAGTGCATTCCGTTGGAGGTCCCCGATAGTCAAAGGGCCTTTCATGGTCGAGATGGTCGGCAAGGTACTTGAGATTGGCCCTTGAAGCTGTAGAAATTCATCACCATGTGGGAGAACCGACAAATGCAAGATATTGTCCTTCCAGCTCAAGTGGGTCGAATGGGGTATCATGACCCATACTTGGATCGATATCGGCAAACATCGGTTCGTTACATGACTCCGGAGGGTGCGGCCGATGGTGCATTAGTAAGTATATTCCGCTATATATAATTAAATGTATTACTTGGTTCCTAAATTTTTTTCTAACTTTTTTTTTTTTTTTGTGATTTAGGCTGATGGGATCGAGCGGATTAAAGACATGACCACCGGGAGAATTGAGCTGGAAAATGAAGATGTGAGCTTCATCAGGAGGATGGCAAACAGTCTTCTTGGCTGTATCAGAGCTCACCGTCGGGATCATCGTAGATATCCGCCCATGCCCGCACCCCCGCCACCTCCGGTACAAGTTGATGTCCCCGATTCCCCCACCACCATACGAGAGGAAGAAGAGCAGGAGGGTTCGGGAAAGGCCCAACGTGCCCAACCTAACGCCATATCCCGGGTGGAAAGTGCCGCCCCCATTGGTTGTGACCCAAGGTGTCGGCCCGAGTTCCCCCCAAGGTGCCGGCCCGAGTTCTCCACAAGGTGTCGGCCCGAGTTCCACCCAAACTCCCCGCCAAGGCTCATACTACGATCCCCGCTCGACCTACCATCAAACCCCTCCGAGTCCCACCTCGATCTCATACAACAATCCCCGCCAAGGAGCATACTACGATTCCCGCCCGGTATACCCCCCATCTCCCCGCCAAGGAGCATACTACGATTCCCGCCCGGTCTACCCCCCATCTCCCCGCCAAACATCATCGGGTACTTGGCATGATGGTTCCTCCACGACAGCACACCACGAATTCAACCCATTGACTCGCCCTCATCAGCAGTGGCCTCCTACTCCTCACCGTATGAGCGTGGATGTCCCCCGCTCGACCCCGGAAGTGTCGATTCCCCTCCGACACAGCACCGACGAGCGCCAAACTACCTCGGCCCGAGTTTGAAGCTTGCCACCGCAACCACCTGTTGTTACTCCCGTCGGTCGTCGGACAAGGAGCAAGAAAACCATGGGTTCCGGTGAAGCTCGTGGACTTCCTTGAGTTATATTTTGAGTTGAATTTTATTTCTATGTACTTGGAACTATTCCTATTCTTTTACAATCCGTTTAGTATCATTTTGTTGCTGTTGTGGTTGCAGTGGTGTTGTGTAAACAGATGTACAACCACAACAGGAAAAAAACAGAAAACAAAAACCTGTTTAGTTGATAAATCTGAAAAATAACGAAAGCTAGCAACAAGAAACAAAAACGTGTTTAGTTACTACTATAAGAACTAAAACCCAGAAAAGAGAGATGTCCTCAATATTAGGCACTGCGAATGATGTGGCGGCGGGGAGGGGAAAGGGAGGCGGTGACGCCTAGTCGAGCGGGGCGTCTGCTGGTGCGGCGGGAAGGTGGTCGCGCGGGGAGGGGAAAGGGAGGCGGCGACGCCTGGCCGCGCGGGCGTCTGCTGGAGCGGCGGGAAGGTGGTCGCGGCGTGAGGGGAAAGGGTGTCGGCGGGAGGGTGGGTGAGAGGTTGGCGACGAGGCGGCTGGGGGAAAGGGTAGAGGGTTTGGGGGTGAGCTGCTGGGTGTAGGGTTTGGGAGAAAATGAGAGGGTTTGGGGGTAAAAAAAAAAAGATGAAATTTTGGTTGAGGTGGGATTCGAACTGTGGGTTGGTTTAATGAAAACAGACCCTCAACCAGTAGGAAACCCGTGTAAAACAACTACAAGAATTAGATCCAAAGCAATAAATTGTTGTTTCTCTAATTTGGGCCCTGTTGTGCAAATCTGATTCACAACAAAAAATAGAAACCCAACTAAACATGTTTTTTTTTCTTGGTTTCTCCAATCTTTAAAAACACAACAAGAAACAAAAACAGACAACAATACTAAACGGGGCGTTAGTTTATCGAATTGATTGTTGTTTCAATTTGGTTTTTATTTCAATGAACAAAGAATTATTCATATAATCTTAGTTTATTTAATTGAGTGTTGTTTCAATTTGGTTTTATTTCTATCCCCTTGGAACTATTCCTTGCATTAGTTGATATAATCCCAATTCGTTCAATCAACAATACGGCCAAGTTCCCAAGCTAATCTCTCGTTCCCTTCTCCAAAGAACGATAAAAGCAACAATACACAATACACATTTTTTTCAATCAACAATACACAATTACTTGCAAAGTAAGAGTCTCAACTAGCTTGAAAAAAATGATAAAAGCAAACTATGTCGCATTAGCTGAGTCCGGCACATCAGCACCCGGATTTTGCGGACCAATCGGTCCTGGACACCTTCGTTTATCATGTCGTGGAACTTTGCATATTGAACATCGTCTTGGGCCTCGTGGTGGTCCTCCACTTTGATCCATTTCGTTATGAATTCTCTTTTTCCTCGGGCGACCCAGTTCACGCCTCTGTCCGAACGGCGGGATGATCAATTTCCCTTCGTACAGCGGCCAATAAGCTTCATCAGGCAATGCACGGAAACTCCGTCCATAGGTGTTTTTGAGTGAGTCGATATTGAAGAATGGACTAACGAAGTGACGGGGGTCTTTGCTCCTGTTTTTAATTACGACCATTGCATGAGAACAAGGCCACCCTCTCCCCTGATACTTCTGGCATGAGCAATCACCAACTTTTGTCCTGAAATTGACCAAAACTTCATGGCGGTGGCCCCCCCGTCTACCATCCTCCCGATGTCCGGTCGTCACGCTATACTCGCCATTTGCCCGATTCATAACGGTTACACTATGTCGACTGCTCTTGCGATTGTCATTCTCCATTACTTCCATGACTTTATAGGCATGGACCTTTCCCTGTGCCTCGTTTGTCCTTGCCCAGTGGAGTCGGTTGACGAATCATGCATTCGTTTTCCAAAAAGTCATCTCCACAATGGCAGAGATTGGCAGTGCACGAACGGCCTTGTAGACAGAGTTGATACTCTCACCTGAGTTCGTTGTGTCAATACCCCATCTTGTACCTCCATCTTTATGAAATGTCCACATGGATAGGTCGTGTCCATCCAGCCACTGTGCCCCTTCATGGCATACTCGCGCAACTTCTGCATCTTCTCCAAAAAAAAATTCTCTTGATAGGCAACCGCTGAGGAAGACACAGAAAAGTAGTAACAATGTCAATTTTCGGCAGTTTAGTACAATTCGAACAACTGGGAGGTACTCTCGTTAGACTCTTAGGAGAGGTATACATCTCCTTAGAAACACAGCCTGTTTGACAGAAAAAGGGGGGATCCGAAGATCGCTTAAAACCCGATTTTCCCAGGAAATGGGAGGATCATGATAATCGCTTCAAACCCCATTTCCTTAGGCATGCATCACTTTAGAAAGAGTCTAACAAGTGCACCACTCTCCTGATTACAAGATATTGTTAGCTGATAAAATTATACGGCTAATTACAAACTTACCAATCCACCACAAATTATCAGCAAGCTTCTTCCACTTGAAATGATTGTTCCAGTTGCTCTTGAAGTGTCGTATGCACCACCTTTGGGACCACTTCCAAGCTAGATCTAAACCTAAGATGGCATCTCTAATGCCGGCGTGCCGATCAGAGATTATTGTCAGGTTCATCCTTGACTCGACTCTACTGTCACTCCAGGAATTGGCCAAGTGTAACCACTTCCTAAAGCGTAGTATAGCGGGTTTAGGTTTAATTATCAACCCGGGTCCTAGATTTGCTGACTACTCAGTGAGTTCTTGTTATCTAGCAATAAAACTGGAGTACAAGTCTAAACTACCAAACAAACAAAGCAAGTAAACGGTTGTATTCAGGTTAAAGAGGTCACCCGGATATGGTTCCCCCTAGACTGCAGTTAAGCCGGATTGTAATTACCAAGTTCAGTTTCTATGATAGTTATACTGCGGAAGGTTCTTAAACAGCCTGAAGTCTCGACTAAAGGTCTTCAGACCCTCTCAATCTGACTCTCTAGCGGGCGACTAACCTCCACCGGAGTCGACAGATTGAGGCCCTAAGAACAAAACCTCCACTACCGGAGTAAATCCGGTACAGAATAGTGAGTTGGCTCCTCGACTAAAGTCACCAACTCCCTACCTTCAATCAAGGATGCTCTATCAACCTAGGCAGATATTCTCATTCTAGGTTAAAGCAGAAACAACAGGAATTTGATCAGGATTCAAGTCATTCAATCATTAAAACCTCAATCGAATATAATCAATCACAGAATCAGTACTTGGGTTCATACAATCAAAGCCTAACATACAAATCTAGGGTTCTCCATACCCAGATGAATGGGAGAACTACTCCATGGAGAAGAAAGCAAAAGCAGAATCAGACACGGAATTCATAATGCGAAGGATGGATTCCTGCTTCTGGACGTTGATCGGCACTTCTCCAAGCTCAAGCTGGCCTCCAATGATGTTGAAGATCAATCTAGGGCACTTGGGAACTCTTGCTCGTCACTTTCTCTCTCTAGGAACTTATCTCTCTCTCAAAAACTCGAATCCCCTTGAATTGTGGCTGAAACTCTGCTTAAAAGCATCAGTGGCCAAAGCACGGTCGAGGGCACGGCCGTGCTTTGCCTGACTCCGCCCGTGTCTCGGCCAAGGCTAAATTACACGGCCAGCAAGTGGGTTAAACACGGCCGTGCTTCGCGTTGGACACGGCCGTGCTTTGGTGGAACACGGCCGTGTTTTGGTGCCCGTGTTTGCAACTGAATTGGCCAAACCAAATTTGCTCTCGGCATAAAAAGCACGGCCAGCAGTACACGGCCGTGTAATGGCTTAGGCTGCCCGTGTTTTGGCTCCAGCTCACCGAAATGACTTCCGAATGCCCCGAAACTCGCGGTTAGCCTTCCCTTTAACGCCTGGGACCTGAAACATGACAAAATAGCACAACCCGGCGTAAAATAGGCCAAAACACACGACTATACTCCTCAAACGGATAAGAACTTGGGGCGCAAACATGTGCATTTACATCGTTATCAATCCTCCTAGTGACGTGGAGCTGAATTTGCCGGAAAAACCATCCATAGCTATCAACATTCTCTCCCTCAACGATGGCGAAGGCTAAAGGAAAGACTTGTCTATTTGCATCCGCCCCACTGGCAATCAGGAGAAAGTCCTTGTACTTGCCGGTAAGGAATGTACCATCCACTTGGATGACAGGGACACAGAAGCCAAAACCATCAATAGATGGCTTGAATGCCCAAAAAAGTCGTCTGAAATGGCGGTTGTTACATGGCTCTGGGGGTTGTATCTCTTCATCTTGGTATCGAGGGGAGAAAACCGTGCCATGGTTAGACGCCTCCAATGCCAAAATTAACCTGGGAAGGAATGCATATGATTCTTCCCAATCACCAAAGACGGCGGCCAGAGCTTTCTACTTTCCATGCCATGCCTTATTATAGTTAATCATATAACCATAACGACTTGCAATGTCAGCGATTATGACTTTCACCTTCAGGTCTGGATCTTGCTCAATTAGAGGCTTGATAGCCGCAGCAACCACCCTGGATTTCAACTGTCGATGGCCTTGGGAAGTTATGGATGACACACATGTGTGTGTGTTCACCGCACGGGATATGACCCAGTGGCCGTGTCTCTTGCTGTTGATGGCCCGAATCCTAACATTGCACCCCTCGTGATAATTACGGCATCTGACTATGAGCCTTTTAGTGTTGGAATGAGTTGTGTGCCATTCAAAATGCCGAGTCATTTGCTTCTGTCTCAATGGCGTGCGACACCTCCTTCTTCGAGCCAAATTGTTGGCCCTTCATAAACCCAGTGAGTGGACCCCATATTGGGACCTCTGGCGGCTCCATGTCGCTATCGACCATCCAATTGTCGTCTGGAATGTGATTGTAGTAGGGGACTGGTACACGGTCACGAGCCACCTCATCATCATTAGCTGAGTCTGACTCTGGTCCTGAATCATCAGCACCTTCAAGAGGGTTGGAGCTGTCTGCACTAACGTTGTTCTCTCCTTCTTCATCGGAGGGGTCACTGATTGGTGCTGGCAGGGCATCCTTTATCTGATCCAGCTCATGAAAGGCACCTTCATCAGCTCCATAATGGTAGTTGTGAAAACTACCGCTGCCTGAGTGGAAGTTGTACTGAGGTTGGTTGGGGAGGTCCGGTTGAACTTCTTCTTGGTATGACGGGAAAGATTGATGATGACCTTCACCTTGCTCTTGGTACTGATAATATGAATGAGGATCATGGTAACTTTGGTAGGGATGATCGCCATATAATTCACCTCCACCATGGATACCAGATGTTTGACCGTGTCCAGAATGACCTCCAACGCTTACGACCGGCTCGGTGTAAACGAACATCTCGCCTTTGGAAAGATTTTTGGACCTCATGAATTCGAGCATGGCATCTACCTCATCCTGAGTGGTTATGAGATATTCCTCATGCCACAATGACCCACTTTCTCTGTTTGGATATCGGTACACCATGCGATCAACTCTTCTCGTGCCATCCATGCAAGTAACGTTAGTGCACATTTGATGGAGGTCTTCAAGCAGCGGTCTGGTAGCGACCTTTATCTTCTAAAAATTGCCACCAACGTAGGTGACCCCCTTTCCGGTCTCTTCCGTGTAACCATTCCACCGTAAGCCTAGCGTGAACTTTTGGAATGCCATCTGCGATAAAACCGTAGTTCAGTTAACATCATAAAAATAAAAAATAACAATAAAAAGTAATACTAAATAAACTTACGAGTTAACGTTAATCGCAAAACTACTAAAGAAATATAGAGCTACAACAAAAAATTGAAAAGGGAGAAGGAGAGGTGTGAAAAGAAGTGGTTTTCTGGGAGGCCTTTTATAGGCAAAATCACTGATGAAAACCGCACCTTAGAGTGAGGTAGGAATCCATTCTTCTTGAGGTCATGCCCGAGTTTCTTCCCCCGAATCGCCAATTGATCTCTGATTGACTTGAAACTTGCGCCTATGCTTCACTTTATGTGCTAGGACCTGAAATGTGACAAAGGAACACAACCTAGCGTAAAATAGGCCAAAGACGCGATAATTAAAGCTCAAACGATCAAGAAACATAGGGGAAAATATGTGCAAATATCGAGTCATCAGCTTGTCGGAAATTGATTGACCTAAACCGCACCTCCTAGGTGCGGTTTGTATGGCAAAATTGCACCTTGGGGGTGCGGTTTTGTTTGGGAGAAACAAACCGCACCTTCATGATGCGATTTTGATAGGTCAGGCCAAAACCGCACCTCGGCCAAGCGGTTTCTGTAGGTCAGACCTAAAACCGCTTGGCCAAGATGCGGTTTTGTTCCAGGAATATGGAACGCACCTTAGAGGTGCTGTTTATGAGTAAAACGCACCCTTAGGGTGCGGTTTACATATAAAACACACCTCTAAGGTGCGGTCCATTAAAAAGGGTGCTATTAGTGTAAATTTTTTCGGATGGGTGCTATTTTTGTAATTTTTTTTAAAGGAGCTATTTCTGGAAAAATCCCCCCAAAATACCATTATTTAGGCCGAGCCTAAACCAATTTAATTAACATGGTTAAGTTGGCCTTATAAATCACTACCACTACTTGAACATAATCAATGTGGTCTTGAGTGATTTTTTAGTGGTAAATACCTGTGTATATAGCTACAACTCTAACCCCTGTGTTTTTAATTTGGTTGTTATGCATAGCAGATTATAGATACATCTATATATACGGTGGTGTATTCTGTGCACTCTGTTTTTTTTTTTTTTGCGCATTTAATGCACTCGTCTCATAATTGTCATTTCGTGAATGCGATTCATGTCAACACGGTATCAATCGTCGCTTATGAAGTTATGAACAAGAAACACATGAATTTGAAAAAAAAAACTATAACAAGATTTACTTTAATTTGAAGAATTTAGGATTAAGAGATTTTCAAGCTGAACCCACTGAAACATAGAAAACAACCATTTCACATATCAAATTGGGATCCCAAGCTGCAAACTCCAGCGCCCTCGATGAGCAAGCCCTGAAATGGTAAACCTAAAAAACGAAACGAAGAGACAAGCTCAACTGGAGATGGAGATGGAAGGCTACAACGGCTAAAAAGGAGAGAAAATGACTGGAAATTTCCAATGAAATCAACCCAAAGCAAAGGCAAACTGCGGGAAAAAAGAAAAAAAGCATTAAAATGGGTTGACGCCGATCACCAAAAGCTGTCGGTGGCCACCCCCTATAAGAAGAAAGCGAAAGCAACTATGAGAGAAGAGAGCGCAATTTTTGGGGGAAAAAAATAGTGAAAGAAGGGAAAGAAAAGGGTTATATATATCTTGCATTACATTAGCATAAAACACTACCTAGATATGTTTATCTCTTACACCTGAATCTCCTTCATTCTCCTTTACTTATCCAAATAATATTTTATAAATAAAGACAATCAACATCAATATTTTGAGAAAAAATTAAACAATATATTTCAAGAATTGAAGATAAGATTGTTTAGGATGGTGCAAGTGAAATTTCTTCAAACTACATATGGGTTGATTTGGAAATACGACATCACAAATTCCACTATCCCTATCCCTTGACAAACATGATATTTGGATAAAAATACCACAACATCAAATAAGATGTATTATGATATTTAGTAATTAAGTCTGTGATATTTTACTCAAATACCACATTTCACAAATTATCAATGTTGACATAACAAACATGTCGCACTTTATTGGTTTAACCAATATTAGATAATTAAACAACCGTTAACTAAAAAAAATTGGGCTAATGCCACTGGAAATACCAATCTTTAGTGCAAGTGTCATTTATATTACGTAACTTCAATAAATACAAAAATATTCCAACCTATTAAGTGTTTGCGTCATTTGTGTTAAGCGAAGTTTTGTTGACCGTAAGAACTAACAGTTGACCTAACGGCGGTCACCCTTTGACTAATCATTGATGAAGTGGCAGCTATGTGAAGTCAAATTTCACTGGATTGATTGTCTTCAACCAATCTAAACCCAACACTGAATCATTTGATCCCAGACTCAAAATTATCATATCATAGGTAAACTTTTGTCCTTGAATTTCCCAACAAAACTCCTTGCACACCAAGTTGCTAATGAACATGGTACCATCTGCTAATTTAACTCTCAAAGGATTAGGGGCCTGAACCAACTAACATTTGAGATCCCTTGCCTTCTTTTTACTGAAAAGTATGAGTGCTACACGTGTGAATTAGTATGAAAATATTTTCCTTCTTAACCTTACACTTGACAATTAAGGAATTTGACAGTCCCCCACTACTCAGAGCCTACATATATACTTCGACCAATTCTGGTTGCATTGAATCCGTTTTTGGTTCTGCCATATCCTCCTCATCCATTACACTCCATTCTTTAGGAACAACATATTCATCATTAGCCTACAACACATTAAGTTGTTTTTTGCTTCACATACATGCTCGTAATAGTACTTATCACAACACTTGTAACAAGTTCCTCTAGCCGCATTCCCTTTTGGATTCAGTATTGGTGGTTTAACACTTCCTGGAGGTCGAGAATCGGAGCCCTCCCATATTTTGGGAGATGGGCTTCTGTTACTGTTGGATGTAGCCATGGGACAAAAATTAGTATTGGTATTATTATGCCACTTCTTTCGTCGAGCCTCATTCGTGGCTTCCTCTAACTGTGCCAATTGAAAAGCATCCGCTAAAGACTGCGGATTCCACATCGTCATTACTGGCTAGAGTTCCTCCACCAATCCACTGATAAAACTGCTGATGAGTAGATCTAATCTAAAGTTGGATTAAATCTAGCCATTAAGGACCTTAGTTCCTTAAATTTCTCCTATGTAATCCGCTAAAGATTCTCACTACCTGAGTTTGTTGAACTCAGCTATCACAATTCACACCACCATTAGTACGATTACCAAATCACTGGCACAAAGCAGCCACAAATTCCTCCCATACTAAATCACGTTCTTATATTTCCAACCTTTAAACCAAATATCCGCTCGACATTCGAAATAAATCACAACCAGAATAACCTTCCTTTCATTAGGAATTGCATGGATCTCAAACAGCAATTCGCATTTTCTAGTCCATTCTCTACGATCTTCTCCATTAAAAGAGGGTAAATGTAACCAAAACATTTGATGATTGTTACCTCGGGCTCGGAGCTTGTAAGTTCTCTCGCTCTGCGACCTGATGATTCGAAGCTGCCAAGCTGGTACCTTAGGTGTCTGCACTACGGCAGGGTCAACTCCCCTGAAACCTAGATTTTGCAAAGGTAAATTGCCTCGAACTCCATTTATGTCAATTAGCGGCGCAGCCTGGCAATGGCTCCCGTCGGCCTAGGTGGAGCTTTCAATTAAAGCATCCCACGGAGATCCTGAGTGAATTTCCCGAAGTGATTGTCCAATGGAGCTTCCATTTCGGTGAAGCGAGTCACCGAGCAAGCTTCCATTCCATCCAATCGAGTAGTGAGAGTGACGAACTGCTGAGAATGGCCTTCTGCGCGAGCCATGAGTTCCTGTAACTGATCAATATGGTTGTGCACTAGCGCACGAACATCCGCAATCTTGTCGTAGAGCTCTGCTTTAGCCTGAGCGGTAGACGCCATCAAATTGGTTAAACGTTTCGATTGTGCCTCTAGTGTTAGCCATTGCTACCAAGACGGGCTCTGATACCACCTTGTCACCCCTGGGAGAGCTGGATCATCTTGGTTAGTGTTTGGCTACCGAGAAAAAAAAAAAGAGAAAATGGCAGAAAGCAGAGAAAGAAGACAGAGACAAAGAGAGTTGGAGAGAGTGGAAAAGGAGGAAAGTTTGTTATTATCATTCAGAATGTCATTACAATCATTTGGGCGGGATCTTTATAGCCTGCCAAATAACCATTCAGTCTTCAACTTCTTTACAAACTAATCCATTATTCTCCTTACACTTCTAATTCTGTACATTTAAGGACATTCATTATTGTACACTATTGGTTTGATGGATTAGAGCTTCTTCTAGAGTTTCCCTTTCGTTCCCTTCATTTCCATAGAGCTTATTGCAAAGATTCAGCTGAAGGGATATGGTGCAGAGATCTTGTGCAAGTAAACCAAACCCTTATTCGGTCGCTCGACTCTCATTAGCAGCTAAATAGCTGAGTCATACCAGTTTGATGATCGGCTCTTTATTATTGGTCAAGCCGAGCGGTTGAACTCGGCTTTAACAACAGGGCAAATCACACAAATTAGATCATTAAAATATACAAACCAATGACACAAACTATATAAATGAGAGGATAAAAGTATACAAATCTTGCGAAATTGTTATACCAATACTACAAAGTATATAAACCATATAATAAAATTATACAAATTAATACTACATAGTATACAAACCTAATTATTAAAGTACAAACCAATTATACAAAGTAAAGTATACATAATCATATGATAAAAGACCTAGTGATGACAATTTTGCCCATACCCATGGATATTTTACTATCCAATTCAATTGGGATGGGTATAAAATCCATATAGATGGTAAATAGGTAGAGTTTGATGGGTTTATACAAATGTTATCATAATCGAGCCGGAGCATGACCCGGTAACGTGAACGGCTTGCACTTTAGTAGTCCTACGGTATTTTATCGTTAAAAAACGAATACCTTATAAATAATAATATCATAAGTAGAAGACACATAAAGTAACAATTTAATAATTTAATGACTAAAATAAAATTTAATTTTTAGATACTACCTAATAATTTTACCATTTTAAACCCAAACCCGAAGTTCAATTTGATAGAATATATTAATTGACCGTTGAGATTGGCCAGAGCTAATATAAGAAGATCTAACGGTCATATCACGTGAAATATGGTATAATCTTGGAATATACCAATCATAACCATATATATATCTAAACCAAAAAACAAAAAAATAACAAACCCTAACCCCCACCCACCCCAGCGGCAGCGCTGCTCTCCCCCTATCCCCTCTCTTTCTTTCTTTTCCAATTTTTCCATCTCTCTCTTCTCTTAATTCCAAACCCTAGATCTGCCTCTCTCACCCCTATAATGACATCGACAATGAAGGGATGGGGATGGATGACAAAGGCTGGTTGGTTGCACATCTTCTCTACTTGTGAGCGAGCTCTAGATGGGAGGAACCCAACAACAACACCGCCGCCATCAGGAGGGACCATTACGCTTCGATTGTCGGAGAAGTTGGATGAGAGGAGGAGTTCATTAGCGCTGGTGAAAGCCCAGAAGACGATAGGTTCGCCGGTAGTGGGTGTGTCGTTGGGAATCGCCCCACTCGACTAGATTTAACTCAGAATTTTTTTTATTTCCAAACGGCCAGAAACCAAAAATCGTTGGGATGGTTCGAGCGGCTCGAGTGGCTAACCATTTCAGCCGCTAAAAAAGTGACCTTCCTGGCCGTTACGACTATTGGAGGGTTCCGGACCGAGCTGACGTCCGGGTGCCGATTTTACCAGTTCGACCGAACGGCTCGGGTCGGCTTTATCAACAGTGATTTATACCTATACCTATTTATTGGTTTGAGGTTTAAACACATTAATTTGAGTTTGTACCCATGTCCAAATGCAAATTATATTTTGGTACCTAAACTTAGTACATCTACAGATTTATTACCTAAGTTTAATTTTTATTTAATATAAGCCCTCAAAATATCGATGGAAAATTATGCTTTGGTACCTAAATTTTTTGCCTTACATTTTGGTACTTGAACTTTTTAAGTTTTGCAAATAGGTCCAATTTTTATGTGTAGTTATAACACACTAAGTAAATGAGTATCCATAGTTCCATACCCAACTAATACCAATTGAGATTATGAAAGCAATATACATACCTTATCAAAACCCATCTATAAACCCCCAAATTCATTATATACTTCATCCATAACCTACCCATTATCAATGGGTCTAATTAGCCTTGCCATCCTAAAAGTATACTAACTTGCGATGTGGTCCAACAACATTGTGTTGGAAATGAATGAATAGTTTTGAAAGCTATAGAGTCCCAAGTGGAAAAACTACCACATTGGTAGTTTTACTTAGTGAAATGTGTATAAAGATAGGAGCCTCTCTCCTAAGGGCATGCCCCTTGGGGTGACCCACTTTTGTGGGAGAGGGAGGATCTAACAGACCACCACACACGCGCGCGCACCGTCCATCCGACCGACCGGTAGGTCAGTTGGTTGGTTCACCTGAGACTATATATATTTTTGGAGAAATTCTGAACGAAATTAATTATCTAATAATTAATTATTAATCGGTTATTCTAAGAAATATGCTAAGGATAATCGATTAAAAGGAATATTCGAAGGATATTCCCATAGGAATTACCTTACAGACAGGTTTTAATTAAGGAAGTAATTATCTTCCTTAATTAATCCGACTTATTCCCCCAGTCAGAGGGTATATTCCTAGGGGTTCGGCTCCTATAAATAGCCGCCTCCCCAGCCCCTCTAAACACACCACAATGAGCAGAAATACAATAGAGAGTGTTCAGAGAGCTCCGGTTTTCGCACAAAACCACCGAGCATTCGAGGAGCTGTTTTATCCTGGAGACGACCAGCTGATAGTATGTCGTGCGCATCGAGGGCAGTGCCGCAAACGTCTAAAAGAGAGTGCCTATTCCGTGACTCAGCTCCAGATTTGGTAACCTCGTCCCTGTTTGTTGTTCCGTTCCTAACAATCTTAAGACGTTCGGCTCCTGCTATGTCGACTAAACAGAACAACATGGTCGGATCTGGTGTTGTCGATATCAATTGACCCTTATGCTTCGTGGGAGTCAACTTCCGTTGCTAGAGACAAAAGATGGCGTTCTACCTGACGACCAAGAAGTTGGCACACTGCCTCACCAGCATGCCCGCCGAGCTGCCGGAAGAAGCGACCGATGAGGAGAGGGTTGCTTATGCTAAGGAAAGTGAGCATGACTTCCTGTGCAAGAACTACATCCTCAACGGTCTAGCAGACGATCTCTACGACTACTATGTGGACAGTAAAAATACCGCAATGATGATCTGGGATGCGCTCCAAAAGAAGTACGACACGGAGGAGGCTGGATCTAAGAAGTATGTTGTCAGCCGCTACCTACGCTACCAGATGGTGGATGACAAGTCTGTCGAAGTTCAGTCCCACGAACTTCAAAATATAGCTCATGAGATCGTCTCTGAAGGTATGCCTCTGGACGATCAGTTTCAAGTTCCTTGCATTATTGATAAGCTGCCCCGTTCGTGGAAAGATTTTAAGAATATGCTTAGACATAAAACTAAAGAATTTTCTTTGAAAAGCTTGATTACTCGGCTAAGGATTGAAGAAGAGTCCGGCAAGCAGGATATGAAAGAAGAGGTGATGGTCGTCACTGCTAAACGACCCACCCCTAGAGCTCTTAAACCTAACCAGAAAGGTTTCAAGAGTAAGAACCACCAGGTCCGCCCCCACCAGAATGGTGCCTGTCAAGGTAACCAAAGGGTCATGGACCAAACCTCTAAGAATGACCCACCGTTTATCTGTTATAACTGCGGTAAACCTGGTCATATGGCAAAAAAGTGCAGAAACAAGCCTAACCCTGCTGCTGCGGCCAAGGTTAACTTGACAGAAGAGGATTTGATAGCCATGATCATGGATATGATCGCAAGTCAACCTCACAGGTGACTCAGAAGGATGGTGGCTGGATACAAGTGCATCGAAGCATGTATGCAATGATCATGCTATGTTTAAAACATACACAAAAGCACCTGCTGACAAGAAAGTGCTGCTGGGGACTACCCAAAACACTATGGTTGCTGGTTCTGGTGAAGTAGAGCTGAACTTCACCTCTGAGAAGAAGATGGTGCTCAAGGATGTGTTGCACACTCCAGAGATAAGGAAGAATCTTGTTTCGGTATATCTTCTTAATAAGGCTGGGTTTAATCAATCTATTGGGGCAGACTTGTATACACTTACTAAGAATGTGAGTTTTGTGGGACGGGATATGCATGTAATGGGATGTTCAAGTTGAATGTCGAAATTAATAAGATGAATTCTTCAGTTTACATGGTGTGTGATTTGAATGTTTGGCATGCTCGTCTTTGTCATGTGAACACACGAATTGTAAAAAATTTAAGCAAGCTAGGACATATCCTTAAACTCTCAATGAATGAATTTGATAAATGTGATTTCTGTAGCCAAGCTAAAATAATGAAAACGCCCCATAAATCTGTGAGTAGAGAACCAGAACCCTTAGATCTTATTCATTCTGATATTTATGAACTAGATGGGACATTAACTAGGTCTGGCAAGAGATACTTTATCACTTTCATAGATGATTGCTCTGATTATTGCTTTGTTTATTTGATAAAAAACAGAAGTGAGACCCTTGACATGTTCAAGGTATTTGTGGTTGAATTTGAAAATCAGTGCAATCGAAAGATAAAAAGACTTAGGAGTGATAGAGGATCAGAGTATGACTCTAATCCCTTCAAGGAATTCTATAGCTCACATGGTATCATTCATGAAACCACGACACCATATTCACCAGAAATGAATGGTAAAGCTGAGCGGAAAAATAGTACGTTTACATAATTAGTTGTGGCTATTATGCTCAATTCTGGAGCTGCTTCTTCTTGGTGGGGTGATATTTTGTTGACGGTTTGCTATGTGCTAAATCGTCTTCCAAAAATCAATAGAAAAGAATCACCCTATGAGATCTTGAAGAATAAGCCACCTAATCTGTCCTATTGAAGAACGTGGGGCTGCTTGGCTTACGTAAGAATTCCGGATCCTAAGAGGATTAAGTTGGCTAGTCGAGCATATGAATGTGTCTTTGTTGACTATGCGGCCAATAGTAAGGCATATAGATTCTATGACTTGAATGCTCGTACTATAATAGAATCCATTGATGCTGAGTTCTTTGAGACACAATGTCCATTTAAAATGAGAAATAGTGGGGGTAATGTACTACCCTCTATTAGAGATAACGGAACTAGTGGGAGTGTTGGATCTGAGGATGAACTCAGAAGAAGTAAAAGAGCTAGAATCTTCAAAGATTTTGGTGAGACTTTACTGCAGTATACACCCTCGAAGATCCAAAAAGTTTGCTGGGAGCATTAACTTCCATAGATGCAGATTTTTGGAATGAGGCCGTTATAGATGAAATGGAATCGTTAGAAACTAATAAGACTTGGCATCTAACAGACTTACCTCCTGGATGCAAATTCCTAGGTAATAAATAAGTTCTAAAAACGAAACGGAAACCTGATGGTGCAATCAAAAGGTTCCGAGCTCGCCTAGTAGTTAAGGGCTAAGGCAGAGAGAGAATATAGATTTCTTAGATACTTATTCACCAGTATCTAGAGTAACATCCATTCGTGTCATGATTGCTCTTGCTGCCTTGAACAATCTCGTGGTACACCAAATGGATGTTAAGAATGCTTTTTTGAACGGTGATCTGGATGAAGAAATATATATGGAACAACCAGAAGGGTTTGTTATCCCTGAACATGCCTCGAATGTCTGTAAGTTAGAAAAATCATTATATGGAACCGGCTCCAAAACCGTGGCATGAGAAGTTTGACACTCTCGTTCTCTCACATGGCTTTGAGGTGAATGAAAGTGACAAATGTATCTACTGCAAGTCAGAGAATAACACTTGTACTATCATATGTTTGTATGTAAATGACATGTTAATATTTGGTACAAATATTCACGTGGTCAATGAAGCAAAAGCCATGTTGAAAGAGAGCTTTGAGGTGAAAGATCTGGGAGAAGCAAAGTTTATGCTTGGAATCCAAAAAACTAGAACAACAAATGGTTATTCTCTAGATCAATCTAGCTACATAGAGAAGATCTTGAAAAAATATAACTATTTCGACTGTAAACCTGCGTGTACTCCATATGATGCTAGTGTAAAACTATTTAAGAACACTGGAGACAGTGTAAGACAATCAAAATATGCTAGCATCATTGGCAGTCTCCGTTATTCTGTGGATTACACTCGACCAGACATTGCATATGTCGTGGGATTGCTTGTCAGGTTTAACACCTGTCCTAGTAGAGAGCATTGGAATAATATAGAGAGGGTCATGAGATACCTCAAGAGAACAGCAAACCTTGGTATACACTATCAAAGGTTTCTTGTTGTACTAGAAGTGATGCGGATTGGAATACCCTATCAAATGACTCCAAGGCAATCAGTGGGTATGTTTTTAACATCGTTGGTGGAGCTGTGTCTTGGAAGTCAAAGAAACAAACAATCCTAGCTCAATCAAATATGGAATCAGAGATGATAGCACTAGCAACGGCCAGTGAAGAAGCGAGTTGGTTGAGATGATTGTTGTCAGAGATTCTCCTATGGGAAAGGACGGTCCCTCCGGTATTGATCCATTGTGATAGTACCGCAGCTATCGCTAAAGTTGAGAACCTGTTCTATAACGGAAGAAACGACAGCTTCGTCGTAAGCACAGTACTGTAAGAGAACTCCTAAAGATAGGAGCAATGAGGGTGGATCATATTAGATCCAAACAGAATCTATCTGATCCTTTGACGAAAGGATTACTTAGAGAGAAAGTCCAGAATACCGCCAAGGGTATGAGACTTATGCATACTGAACCACAGACTACAAGTGATGCTAACCCGACCCAATAGACTGGAGATCCCAAGAAATGGGTTCAATGGATATTAACAAGTCATGAGCAGTATGCGAAAATTTCATGCATAGTGAAGTATGAATCCCAAAGCAATGGAGGTTGAGTTAATAACTCTTATTGAGATCTATACCCTAGTTGGGGTGGAGTACTTTACTTTGGGGGTACTCCTGATAGACTCACCTATGTGAATGTGGGAGTGGGGCTGCTCACTATGGAACTTTGGAGGCACAAAGTTGCTAGAGCGTTCACTAAATCAGAATAACGTGCATGGCCATAAACGCATGGGCTAAGAAAAGAACACAACTCAATGAAAAGATCCGGTGTGCTACACTGTCTGAGATAGGGTTCAAGACTACGAGTCACCCTTATGAAATCGGAAGTGTAACCACTACGCTAAGGTTCAAATCTTCGCGATACCTTAGCTTATGCCCGATCTTATGGAACTGTTGATGCTCAGAGATAGTTTCAAAACTATTCAAGTGGGGGATTGTTGGAAATGAATGAATAGCTTTGAAAACTATAGTGTCTCAAGTGGAAAAACTACCACATTGGTAGTTTTACTTGGTGAAATGTGTATAAAGATAGGAGTCTCTCTCCTAAGGGCATGCCCCTTGGGGTGACCCACTTTTGTGGGAGAGGGAGGACTTAACGGACCACCACACACGCACGCGCGCCGTCCTACCAAATGGTCGGTCGGTAGGTTCACTTGAGACTATATGTATTTTTTGGATAAATCCCGAACGAAATTATTTATCTAATAAGTTATTATTAATCGGTTATTCTAAGGAATATTCTAAAGATAATCGATTAAAAGGAATATTCGAAGGATAATCCCGCAGGAATTATCTTACAGACGGGTTTTAATTGAGGAAGTAATTATCTTTCTTAATTAATCCGACTTATTTCCCAAGTTAGAGGGTATATTCCTAGGGGTTCGGCTCCTATAAATAGATGTCTCCCCAGCCCCTCTAAACACACCACAACGAGCAGAAACACAATAGAGAGAGTGTTCAGAGAGCTCCGATTTTCGCACAAAACCGCCGAACATTCGAGGAGCTGTTTTATCCTGGAGACAACCGATTAATAGTCTGCCGTACGCATCGAGAGCAGTGTCGTGAACGTCTAAAAAAGAGCGACCTAGTCCGCGACTTAGCTCCAAATTCGATAACCTCGTCCCCATTTGTTGTTCCGTTCCTAACACATTTCTTGCCCACCCCTAAAGCTAAGCATTAATAGTAAAGTTCAAGACTAGCTTTAAGCCAACACTTGACACCTTTGGTTAAACCATGATACGAGCTGAGATGAGTCGAAAATAGAATAAGCACGATCAAACAATAAAATGAATTTAATACATAACCAACTAAATGAGACGACCCGAACAAGAAAGAAGACTTGTGCCCATACCAGACTCTGGTCAACAAAAATTATCCCCAATACAGATACAACTACACAAACACAAATGCCTCTTGGCTGGAGGAGCATGGGTTTACTTTGAATCTAAAAAACGTCCTAATCACAGTCTCTAGTTTCAGTAAAGCTGCATCAAGAAAATAAAACCATCTGCAGGCTTATATTCTTGCGTTTGCAGGTACTACTGGAGTGGTAGGAGGATACAGTCTATAGTACATTGGTGAATGGAAGACCTCACCATACACTAAAATACAGCCTCCGACGGAAGTATCTTGCAAGTTGAAACAAACTCTGGAGGAGGGGCTCGAAAAATGAAGTGGAAGATATCCGAACAGCAAAAGCTGCCACTGAGAGAGGGACTATGTTTCATTTCAGATGCTTTCCTTTTGCTGTATATTCTGCAGTTCTAGCAGCCAAATACTTGAAGGTAGCGTCCCAGATTTGCCTCTCGGAATCAGAAGGCTTTTTACCTGCGACAGACGGTGTCCAGGTACCTTTAGTCGCATCTGCAAGGATCCATTCAACACTGTCGGGCACATTGGAAAAATTGAAGTCCAAATGAGAAGCTACCCAAGCTTCCTTTTTAGGCGTCTTGCTTTTCTTAGCACTGGATCCCTCTGCAGACTTGAGAAAGCTTTCAAGCATTAATAAACAAGAACTGTCAAGAAGAAATATTGAGAGGGAGCAATTTTCAGTTAGGTAGGACTTCTTACATTAGCATTAGCATCGGAGCTCTCTGCTTTTTTTTGCTTCTTCACGCTTCCCGTCTCCAAAAAATACTGCACCTCTCGCTTGGACCTAAACCGCCGGCGCGAGACAGGATCAAAGTAGTACTGCATCAAGTAAAGAAAAATTATTGTCCTCCACGTAGGAAGGGAGAACTTACTTAAATGCCAGGACAAAGAGAAATAACACAGTTGGATATCAGCCGATTCGGTATATGATAACATCTTCTAGCAAACATATTGTCTCAACATGCAAGTCATTCATTGACACCATGGAAACCTTTAGTTTCTTCTACTTGGAAAAAACCCAGGTGTTTGTGATACCACACCATATCGATTGGTATTAGCAGTCCAAGCACATACTTGAGCCAACCACGTAACGTTGTGTCATGATTTTATTAAAAATGATGGTTTTACTAAAACTTGGGTTTTGTAAAACCATGGATATATGAAGGTTTTTGGTTCATTATGGACTTGAAAAATAACATTGTTTGCTTCATGGATTCCATGATGGATTTGGTTAATTAGATTTGTATGTATTAAGTGAAATTGACTTACATTGCCCTCAATGGTACGAGAAGAGTAAGGAAATAGCAAGGGCAAATTGGTCATAAATGATGGGCTTGAAAGTCCATGACCAATTCCCACATAAAGTGGTGGAACTTTCAAGTCCGTGGACCCTCAAAGTCCGTGGGTCCTCGGATTTGTTGCCATTAAATACATCAAACAAACAATGGATTTTAGGCAAAGTCCATGATAGAGCCAAATTCATCAAGCAAACAACCCCTTAGTTTCTTCTACTTGGAAAAAACCGAGGTGTTTGTGATACCACACCATATCGATTGGTATTAGCAGTCCAACCATATACTGGAGACCAACCAGGTAACGTTGTGTCATGATTTTATTAAAATTTTCAGTAAGCCCTTCAAAGCTTAGCCTCACCATTTTAATCTCCGATACGGTTTCAAGAACATTCAGAAACTCATTCAAGTTCCTTTTACACCCATAAGCAGACCTAAACTTGTTTTACAAACTATTTGACCACAACCTGCATTGTTGCTTCAATGAGATATCCTATGTCAGTGAGCAACAGAAAAAATTCTGTAACAAACTCATACATAGATAGAGATATCCTGATCCTTATTGGAGACTAAAAAATCCAAAATGCAACCCATATAAGCTTTTGACTTCTTCAATCATTCTCAGGAGCATCAGGGCCAATCTCAACCTAGCAGTTAGTCCAAGTTCTTACTTGTCTGCTGTGCATCCGAGAAACTAAAGGCTACTCCTGCCATCTCAAATGAATCAGGATTGAGAGAACAGTTGGTAATCTTATGAAGTGAAACCTTAACTGGTCTTTATACCATTAAAAAAAGAAGGAAGGTACACAACTGCCACAATAGAAGGCATACTCAGTCGCTAATTAACTCATCATAGGATCGTTCTTGTTACAGAATTATCTAAAATGATGATTCAGCCCCTACTAGATTTTCAACTCTTCATTTAACCAAGACATCAGTGGGAAGTGGACAAGAAGCTTTTAATGATCACTGTCCAGAAGAGAACTTCTTACCCTTGAAGCAGACTTCCACAAAACATATCTTAGACCAACTTATGTATCTCTACTTGAATAAACTAAAACAATACCCTCTAAGTCTGGACTTCTTATTGTTGTTAAACCTTAGCTGCTTATTTATTCTCCCAAGGTATTGACACATCCTATGAAGAGAAGAAGATTAAAAATAAACTGACAAGACTTCGACTTGTTGACGAATCATAACCAGGATAAACACTACCATCAACCAGAACTCACTTGAGTGCATGCAATGATGGCTCAGTTGTGATGAAGAACGAACTGCAGATGAAACTGATAAGGCGGACTAGCTTAGGGCTTCAAACAAATTGACTGCGTCCAGTTGCAGATTGGTAAGAAAGAGCCGGCCAACTCAGTTTGACGACTTAACTACGGCAGTAAACTCAATCGAACAAGCTTAAGGGATTCAATGCATCAATTTCCTGATCAGAGCAGAAGCACATACGAAACTTCATTGTCTGATTGAACTATCTTCGTCTCCCTACCCAAACATTACACCCTCTCATTTCACCCAGAGTCGTCGGAAAACCTAATCGAACCAAATTTAGCAACTACTAAACCGATTCATGCAATACTCAGCAGCTTAACAGACGAGTGAGAGCTGCAACTCCTACAATAAATCACAATCTCAAGGCAGCCGCAAGGGAAGATCCAGTCAAAGGCGATGAATATTCTGCAGGATTGACATGCGAAAGTTCGGCACTAACCTTATCTATCGTCCCAGCCGTCGCACCCGAACTTCTGACCCTGTCTTCCACCAACCACCCCGGCGGCAACCAGCTCGTCTCCGACACTCTCGTCCGCGATCGAGAAGATTCCGCCGCTGCATTAGCTGCAGAGGAGTTAGGCTGTTGGTTGTCGCCCAGCGGTGTAGCTTCGACCCCGGAGGACCCGGAAACGGGGGAAACGAAAGCGCCATCTTGGAGCAGCGGATCCGGCGATGGACCGGCGGGGAGGTGCTGCGATCTGTCGGGTTCAGGGAGGTTCGGTTTGGTATAACGCTGGGGCGTAGCTTTGGTTGTATTTGACATCGAATGCCGATTGCCGAGTGGAGAAATGCCATTTGCGCCAAAGGGCTTCCTGACTTTTAAATTTCTTGTTACAGACAGTCGACTCCCATTTTGTGTGCAACGGAATTTTACAAGAAGCCAATTAACCATTTTTAACTTGCAATTATTTACTTGCCATCTGGATACCGTGAAAAGGAGAAAACACAATATTCTACGCTTATAGCTCGAGAAGTAAAATGTATTATTTATACTTCATTTTAGTGACACCTACTAGATAGATCACTGAGTCAGTTTTGTTTGGAGCAACCAATTCTGAAAACTCCATCGCTAGGGTTTAAAGTACTCTATTGGATGGACTTGTGCAACAAAGTAAGAGATTGGTGTCGGAAGTACCAATACTACTTGAATATATGGAGAACAGAGGTGCGTGGGTGGTTCATGATAACCCTGAAACGACACCGATGGGGTACCATGATGAGTACATGAAGTGGTATCGAAAGTTCTCACTGAGATGAGTTTTCAAACAAGGTGTCGTGATGGGTTTTGTGATAAGTGAGTTTTTTGTATCATAGTTTTTTTTTTCAATTTAAGATAAAATTGTTTCCTCTAACTGATTAAATGTTTTTTTTTTTCTGTAGGTCGATGGTTTGGAAATTGCAAGTCAGACAGTGGAGAGTGCACCAACCATAGCTGCCGGCAAAACCTCTTTTCTGAGGAAGCTCTTCAAGAACCTCTTGAGTTGCACACGAGAGCAGTGGAGGGATGTCATAGCATATCCGCCCTAGCCTGCACCACCACGCCCCTCGTTTCATAATAGTGACATCCAACGCCCCCCCCCCCCCTCCATCTTAGCCGAAGAGCAAACGTCGAGATGAGCCTCCAATTGTCGTGGTCCACCTGAATGAGCAACATCGCCTTCCTGACCCATTGGAGTTCGAGCTCCTCAATCCAACCGACCAAACTGGAGCATTGTCGAGCAGCGGTCCTTCACAACCAGGCGGCATGTACCCCTAAGAGTTAATACAATTCTACCAATAATATCAATCTCCGCCAGAGTCATTCCGTTCACCGAGCCACGTCCCCATTCTTTCACCTTATGGTACATCACTTACACCGCTGCCACCACCTCACATGGTTACGCTGATGGCGGCTCGAGTTAAAAGGAGCTCACGGCATCATCGAGAAGGAGGACAGAGAAGAGGACCACAAAGGGACGAGGAGGAGGAGGAAGATGGGAACAAAGGGAACAAGGAGGAGGTCAAGCCAAAGGAAATGAAAATTATGTTGTAGTTATATGTTGTTTGTTTTAGTGCTAAGTTTCCATATTATGTCTTTAATTTTCTAGTGCTAAGTTTATTTTAATAGGAAGTTGTGTGTTGTTGCGACCACCATTAAGGTGTGTTCTAGTGTTTTGTAGTTATGTTCTAATGTTCGTCTAGCATGAATTTGAATTTATGTTCTAGTGTTATGTCTCGTCCCAACTTGAATGCCTTTTATTTAAAAGGACTCACAAAGCTGTCAAGATGAAGAGATTGTGATTAGCTGCGCCATTACATGGGAGCAAGGCACTCTTTTGTTTTGAAACTTCTGAATGTACACTCTCCGGTCTGACTTTTAGCAAGGGGGGTTACAGTTTGACGATTTCTTCCACGCCATAGACATGTGTCTATTTGCAAATATATTTTCATCCCAGTTGAAGACGGTAACTTTGTGCTTACCAGCGCGCTATTCGTACTTGTGCATAATATTTTTACAGAAGGGGATATAGCTTCTCCAGCGTGCTCTCTCACAATGACCTCTTGACATATTTTAACAAACCACTCGTTGGCCCTCTAGTAGGTCATCTCCACTATTTTTGAAATAGACATTACTCGAAGACCCTTATGCACTCTATTTTATACTTTTATCGTGGTTAGTAGTGGCAATCCTGAACCTAGCTCTAGCATCCATATGAAAGGTCAGCATTTGCAGATCTGCTGTTCAACCTGAAAGTAGCCAGACATCCCATCCAAGAAGCAATTGATATGATCCCAATCGGGTCCATATTCACGTTAGAAGTGTATGATCAAGAAGCCATTCTAAGTTCTAACCAATGCTGGAAATTGTGCCTAAGTGTTTTGACGAGTTCAGGTAACCCGGTTGGCAAGCTTGGTCGCCACTCCTGGATCCATGAAAATGGGGTTTCGAGGGTTTGTCTGAGAGATGGAATGTTGCTCTACAATCAGGTAAGCTCGGGCATTCGTGATCAAGCCAGGAGGGTCAAGTTTTCTCAAATCGCTATGATGGAACTGGATTTCTGCCAGAAAATGACTAAGTTTTGGAGCGTGTTTGAGAAGGCAACTTGGGAGCTTGATTCGAGGAGGCTGGGTGATGGTCAAGTTTCGATCTTTATACCACATCAATCTATAGGTTTTCTACTTCAAAGACAAGGGATTGGCTGATCAAATTGGACAATGGAGGGATTTGAACGAAAGGGTGCAAGATCTCTTAAAGCCTTGCAAGCAACAGAATCCGAATCCTTCTCGGATTAGGATTAGTGTGCTGTTTGAGTTAAGCTTGTTTTCGTGTTGGTTTTTATTCCTTTTCATAGTAGAATTGTAATTTGCTTCCTTAATTGTTGTTAGGCTTTGTCCTAGGTCCATTTAAGTCGAATTGGTTCATTGTAATAGATAGTTTTTTACGTCAATTGAATACAAACTGCAAGTTTGGTTCACGAGTTGTTTCTTGTGTTTGGGAGGAGCCAGAACGAGTTCTAAGCTCTCGTTGCTGTATCGATCAAGCCATCCATTCTTGATCGTGGCCAGCCTCGTGTTGATTCTCTTCGAGCCTTCGTCCTGAGTGTACGATTGCACGAGAGAGCTATACTGCCTTTCAATTCAGTGAAGCCCTATTTGCGTCTCGATTTGGAGTTGAATTTGACTCTTGAATCAACATCACCCCTACAGGGGCGTATCAAGTGGTAATTAGGGCCCGGTTCATACACAGTGGGCAGGACGAAGAACCTCATTAGGGGAACCGCACCTTGGACACGATCGAAGGGCTCCGTCGTCGACGACCCTTAAGTTGTAAGCCGAAATTCAGAGGAAGAAGCAGGGCTTGAAGACGAGTTTGCAGCTGAAGAATTCACAATGGCGGGACAAACCGTTGACCTAGAAGAGTTGATGCGCCGATTTGATACGTGCCTAAATCAATTCAGGAAGGAGATTAATCAGATGATCGACGCCATCGTTCGGCCGGAAAACAAAGAGCAAGAAGGGGACTCTCGTGACGACGAAAATCCCAACGACAATCCGACATTGATAGAGTGGATGAGGAGCTGGAACAGCGATTAGTGGTGGGTGAGCCCAACTGTGATCGTCATCGACGAGGTAATCGAGACGATGAGCCTATAATCCCACCTGGGATTAAGCTAATGATACCGGCATTTCAGGGCACTGTGAACGCGACGGCATATTTGGATTGGGAACAAAAAATGGTCTTGTTTTTCCAGTGAGGCCGTTACACTGAGCAGCAGAAGGTAAGCCTGGCTACTTACGAATTCATCAACTACGCTGCTCGGTGGTGGGAGCAGGTTCGCCTTCGACGACGACAAGATTTGCAACAGGAAATTACAGATTGGGAAGAGCTGCGGAGGGAGATGTGGGATCGTTTCGTGCCTGCTTATTATCAATGAGAGCTCCATGAAGCTCTGCAAGAAGTTCGACAGGGAGGACGATGCGTGGAAGACTATTTCCGAGAACTCGAGCTACTTCTGATGAGGGCCAACATCAGGGAGGATAGAGAGGAGACAATCGCCCGCTTTCTTCATGGTCTGAATCGTGAGATTCGGAAAGAAGTAGAATTGAGGTCCTTTGTCACCCTGGAAGAGGTATTCCACCCCGCCATCAAAGTAGAGAAGCAGCAGAAGACGATGGTTGGCCGGAAGTTCACTCCGGTAGCAAAACAGGCAGCAGAGGCAACCCCTGAGCCCCAATTGTCTCCAGCACGGCTTGACCCATCCAAAACAGCGCCCAGGAACACTAATTCCAGCCCTCCTGAGCGATCGAGGGAATTCAGTGCTTCAAATGCCATGGAAGGGGCCATAAAGCAAACCAGTGCCCAAATTTAAACACCTTGGTGATCAGAGATGGGGAATACGTCTCCGACAAAGAAAAACAACCCTCCGATGATGAGGAAATAGACGAAGAACTTGAGATGGAAACACCTCCACCTCTTTTAAAAATAATAGGAGTAAATCGGAGGGCTCTCACCATTCGTACGCTTGCGGATTCTGAGCAGAGGGATAACTTGTTCCATACTCGCAGCATTGTCAATGGCGAACTACTCTCCGTCGTCATCGACGGGGGAAGTTGTACGAATGTGGTAAGCTCTGAGGTAGTCCAGAAGGTTGGTCTGCACACCAGCAGGCATCCAGATCCTTATAACTTGCACTAGTTAAATGATTATGTGCCATTAAGGTCAACAAACAAGCACGAATCAAGTTTGCAATAGGTAACTACGAGGATGAGCTTCAATTCTATGTGGCGCCGATGCAAGCCGCTCATCTGCTACTTGGACGACCCTGGAAGTTCGATCGTGGGGTATGTCACTACGGGGATACAAACTGCTACAGATTCAAGCACCAGGGTCATACCTTTTTGCTGAAACCATTATCGCCGACCGAAGTGCGAGAAGATCAATGGCAATTAGAGGCCAGTCGACGGCGACAAGAGGAGGAAATTGGTGGAACACGAGCTGAAGAACCTCACGACGTCAATTTCGTGGCTCAACGATTCATGATCACCGGTTACAAGAGGCAGAAGGCTCCTCGTCGTCAACGGCCAAGTGACAGGTCGCCGGAGCAGAGCAGGAGAGAGGGTGAATCCGTCGGAGAGCTCGGACAGGAATTGAGTCTCACCGCCAGCACCGAAACGTTCCACTAGACCTCTGAAAGCTTTTCCCCGAATCAGAATGGGTCGGCTACACCCCCATTGCTAGATCCAATTCGAGCCAAAGATGCTCTGAAAATGAACGAACGCGGTCAAAAATCGGCCCTATTGGTTGGGTCATTCAAGGGCGATTCGTCGCAAATGGCGAGTGCAGAACTGAAGGGAATGAACACATGAAGCTATGGGAGTGACCAATTGGGGCGAGGAATGATCGAATCAAAAATTCCCAATTCAAAGCCAAGCAATCTGGGTTTCCATAATTTGAATTTCGGTCGTGGCGGGAAAGAAGGAATCCTCGTTTCGGCAAAGATAGTGATGAATCGAAGCCTGCAACTGGCCAGGATCCTAATTCCGAGCCTAGCGAATCTAATGGTGGGGGTGAATTGAGCTCTACTTCCCTGGAAAGGAAAGACCCAACCTCAAGCATGAAGAACACTGCTACTGTTCTTCAAAATCGCGAGTCTCAGCAGCCATTTTCAGATCCCATTTGGGACCACTTTTATGTGTGATTCGAGCAAAGCAGGAGCAAAGTGTTGAGGGCAACACTTTTTCAAGGGAGGGGGCCTGATATGATCCCAATCGGGTCCATATTCACGTTAGAAGTGTATGATCAAGAAGCCATTCTAAGTTCTTACCAATGCTGGAAATTGTGCCTAAGGGTTTTGACGAGTTCAGGTAACCCGGTTGGCAAGCTTGGTCGCCTCTCCTAGATCAATGAAAATGGGGTTTCGAGGGTTTGTTTGAGAGATGGAATGTTGCTCTACAATCAGGTAAGCTCGGGCGTTCGTGATCAAGCCAGGAGGGTCAAGTTTAGAGCCTCTCAAATCGCTATGATGGAACTGGATTTTTGCCAGAAAATGACTAAGTGTTGGAGCGTGTTTGAGAAGGCAACTTGGGATCTTAATTCGAGGAGGTTGGGTGATGATCGAGTTCCGATCGTTATACCACATCAATCTACAGGTTTTCTACTTCAAAGACAAGGGATTGGCTGATCAAATTAGACAATGGAGCACTTTGAATGAAAGGGTGCAAGATCGCTTGAAGCCTAGGAAAAACTGTCTTGCAAGCAACAGAATCAGAATCCTTCTCGGATTAGGATTAGTGTGTTGTTTGAGTTAAGCTTGTTTTCGTGTTGGTTTTTTATTCCTTTTCATAGTAGAATTGTAATTTGCTTCCTTAATCGTTGTTAGGCTTTGTCCTAGGTCTATTTAAGTCGAATTGATTCATTGTAATAGATAGTTTTTTACGTCAATTGAATACAAACTGCAAGTTTGGTTCACGAGCTGTTGCTTGTGTTTGGGAGGCGCTAGATTGAGTTCTAGGCTCTCGTTTCTGTATCGATCAAGCCATCCATTCTTGATCATGGCCAACCTCGTGTTGATTCTCTTCGAGCCTTCGTCCTGAGTGTACGATTGCACGAGAGAGCTATACCGCCTTTCAATTCAGTGAAGCACGGTTTGCGTTTGGATTTGGAGTTGAATTCGACTCTTGAATCAACATCACCCCTACAGTGGCGTGTCAGCAATAGAAGTTATGCCCCGCTAATCTATGATCAATGAAGGATAAAGTGAAATGATCTTTCCTAGTAGCGTCATTTAGCCGCTGATAATCAAGGGAGACGCTCTATCTTGATATGATCCATGTAGGAATGAGCTCATCTTTCTCATTTACCACCACTGTTATACCTCCCTTCTTAGACAGCAATTGTATCTAGCTTACCCATTGACTGTCGGAGATAGGGTAGATGATCCCAACATCCAAGAGCTTGATCACCTCTACTTTCACTAGTTCTTCAAGGTTAGGATTCACCCTATGTTGAGGTTATCGAACCGAGAAATCTCTTGACATGCTCCATTGGTGATTCATCCGGAAGTCATGAAACTATATGTTCTTCTAAATCATTATAATGAAGTCGGACTTTATCTCAAAGTTGTTAGCTTCCACAGGCGGATTCAAGATGCTTGATTGAATATCTTCCGCTCGTGGAGCTATGTAATAGCCCATCGTCCTCGGTTCACAGTTACTTGCACGTTCTCTTGGAATTTTGCCAAAAATATCACCTAAAAAAATTCCAAAAATACCACTCGTTTCCGAAAAATTCCAAAAATACCACCATTTCCCACAAACCGCCACCCACTATGTGGTTTACTCAAAAATCGCTGGGTGGGGGCGCGGTTTTTGCTGAAAACCGCATGGGGCCACCGGTGGTTTGATTGACGACCGGGGGTAGAGGCTGTTAAGGTGAACCCCCCCCCCCCCACCCTACGTTTAGTATGATTTTTTTTTTATCAACTCCTAACCTCGGTCGAAACTTCAAACGATTGTAACTTTGCGCTCGGATATTCGATCGTAGCGAAATATTTTTTGATTCTGCATAACTATTTGAGATCTTGCAAGTCGCCGCAAGCACATTAGTTCTTCCTTCGTCCCAAAAAATGTCAGTTGCTACCTCGAACGAGTAATTTTTGATTTTGCCAAACTTTGAACGGTTATAACTTTCGCTCCAAAATCCGAATGTCATGAATTTTTTTTATTTTGCATAAATTTTTATGGACTACAACTTTTATCACAACCATAATTTAGAAGGCTTGCAAGATCTCAAGAAGTTATGTGTAATAAAAAAAATTCGCTACGATCAGATGCCCGAGCTAAAAGTTACGATTAGTTTTTACCTTAACCGCCCCTTCCCCCAGCAGTTTATCAGAACGTCCGAAAATGCGGTGTGGGTTGGAAGTTTTCACCTTAACTGCGGGGTGGGGTGGCGGTTTATGGGAGAGGGTGGTATTTTTGGAATTTTTTTGGAAATGAGAGGTATTTTTTGACTTATTTTTTTGGGTGGTGTTTCTGGAAAAATTCTCGTTCTCTTACGCCATCTCAACTTCAAACTCCTCCTCAAATCCAACTTCTCCTTCGGAAGCAACTTGTGGTTAACCCGGATCCGCCAATCTTTCTATTGCTCCCTTAACTCTCTCTCCCGAGCCAGGAGTCGGAGAGTTTGGTTTAGTGTTATTAAAGCCGACCGAGCTGGTCGGCCGGACCGATAAAACCTTCACCCGCTCGCAAAACAGGCTCAGATCAGCTATTTAGCCGGAACGGCTTTTTGAAGCGGCTGGATGCCGGCCGGAGCGGTTAACCAGTTGAGCCGTCCGCTCGGTTTCACCACTTCCGGCCGTTTTGATTTAATAAAACAACAAAAGCAAAAACGCAAATTTCGGGCTGGGCTGCAAAGAAAGAAAACCCTAGCGACTGATTTCAATTCATCTCCTTCCGTCTTCTTCGCAAATAGAGAGAATAGCGGCGACATCGTCATTGCCATCGCTTCCCAGACGACGTTCCCGGCTGCGCCTCTCCCTTCGGCATCGCTTCCCAGTCGGGGTCGTTATTTCCTGTCTCGGCGTCGTCATCGCCATCGCTTCCTCTCGTCATCTCGCGTCTGTAGCAAACTCCTTGCCCCCGCTGGCCATCGTTGCCATCCGCGGTCCTCGTATGCTGTAGCAGCTCCTCGCCCCGCTCGCCATCTTCGCCATCCCGTAGCAGCTCCTCCCCATCTTCCTGCTCCTGCTGCGACCGTCTCATCTCCGCATAATCTCCACCGGTCACTGCCCTGCTCGACCACGGCGAGGTAAGATATTGAATTGTTGATTCCTTCTTTTAACTTTCGTGTGGGTTCTTGTTTCAACATAAACATTTGGAAACTCGGAATCTTTAAGAAATGATGTTGTTAGCTGATTTTAACAAGAGGCAGGGAGCTGATTTCTTAACATTTTAATTTGCATTGGTAGAGAATCACGGTTTGCATTTTAACAGGAGGCAGGGAGTTGGTTTTTTTGCATTTTAATTTGCATTTGTTTGGTCGAGAATCGGTCCACTTCATTTGTGTGATTTGGTGTTTTTTTTCCAGATGAGTAATCCAAATCTAGATAGTGGAACCTCATCAACAACACCAAGCTCTATTGCTTCAACTCTTGTTTCGTGTTTAGATTCGTGTGACATTACTTTTATTTTGGAACAATGTGATGGTCTGTAGTTGAATTTTAGAACTTTTGGTACTAATGTTCTAGAATTGTTAAGAGTGTAATTTACTCATTTAGTCATGGTTTACACTGATTAAGAAATGTCCAATATTTATACTGATTGTTTATTAGGTACCGGTTCTCTAACGGTCTAATGTCGGTTGGACCGTTAAAGACCGAACCGTTCACATTATCGGATCATAGTCCGGTTCGATTTTGACAACATTGGTTTGGTTGATATTTTTGTTTAGTGGCACCAAAGTTGCTGGATCACTCTGGATCATACACCTCCTGTACACACCTCACCACACACAACACAAGCCAAGACAAGCAAGATTCACAGTTTCACACTACACAATGCAAGAAATTAAATGATGGAGTAACAATAAAAGAATTTTTCCGAATAATAGACCGTAAACTAGTCAATGGAAACGGCATCAAAAACTTGTCTCGAACCTAACTACACAATTCCCAATAGATGGCCAAGTATAATCAACGACCAGGTACAGAATGGGGCAAGTGTTAATTTATCAACTCGATGCAGTCCATGTACCCCTACTTTAATTATATATATATATATATATATACAAGGTTCAAGAAGGCGCGCCTAGGCGCACGCCTAGGCTCAATTAGGCGCTAGGCGGTGGAGGATCGCCTTGACTTGGACATAGGCGTTGTAAAAGGCGCTGGTAGCGCTTAGTACGTAGGAATAGCGCTTAGTTTGCGCCTAGTGGAGAGAAGGCGTGCCTGGGCGAGCTTAGGCGGTTAAACCCAATACTCTTCGTTTTGTCCTAGAAAATCAGAAACTTGCCTCTTGTCCTAGAAAATCAGAAACACGGGAAGTAACATCTGCTGCCGCCTGCCGCCCTAGCTCTCGCCCCATCTGCTACCGCCTGCCGCCCTAGCTCTCGCCCCATTTGCTGCTCTCTGCCGCCGTCGGAGAAAGTCATCGATCACTCTTCTCGCCTTCACAGCGCTCCGATGCTATAGTGGGAAATAAAGTCGAAACTCGTCAATTGCTTCTCCTTCCTTCTCCTCGGTACGCAGCACAAGCTTCTTGCCTTTATAAGCACCTATTAGCATATGATTGGTCACTATTTGCTTGGTATTTGTTATGTTAAGTGTTTACTGTTAAGAACTAGGCATTGCTAATTTTATATGCACTTCGATTATATGAATTATTCCAGAAAATAGGAAATATTTGAGATTTTTTTCCATATATGCTCTAAACGCCTAAGCTACGCCTAATCGGGCAAGGCGCAAGTCAAGAGCCGAGCGCCTGCCTTACGCCTAGCGCCTTTTAGAACCTTTTATATATATATATTATCTAGTAAATGGTTTACGGTGAAATCTAAGAAACTACAATGGAAAGCAAGCAAGCAAAGTAAATTTGTGGTGAATTCGATTTGAGAAGACTTCACCCGGATATTGTTCCCCCTAATCTCGTGTCAAGATCAACGAGTGGAACTCTAGTGTGTGAGTGTGATCATATACCGTGAGAAGGATGCAATAAGTTAGGAGACACAACTCCCTTAATAAATTAACTAAGGAATGTCACGACAAGCAAGTGAGTAGTCTTGTCCTCTTAATCAATCGACTAAGAATTGCAAAACCAGTCCCTTTGAGGTTTGTCCTTAATTGCCCTAGCAGGGGTTACCCAAATTGCCAAAGTATGGGCTATGAGGGAATTTCTGCAAGTGTGGTGGAGGAGAGGGAAGTTTTTGCTACGAAGGAGAAGAAGAGGAGAAATACGAGTGAAATAGGGTGTTGGGTTCGTATTTTTATATTGGAATCATATGAATGCAAGATCATGCATAGGTCGCTGCACCTAACCCTAACCTCGTGCCTAATATTGATTGCGCATGACAATAGCGATTTAAGGTGATGGCTTGTAACAAAAACGATGAACTGACAACACCAACCCTAACCTCTTGTTGAAATAAAATCATTGTCGAGGACATCGATTTAATATTGATTGCTCTTTGTGGAAGCGATTTAGTTGATCGCTTATCTCACCAGCGATGATATTGTAAATAGTTGTCTTTGTAAGCGGTTAGCACTTTCATCGCCTTCCTTTGGAAGCGATTTAAGTATCATTGCTTCAAAGTAAAGTGATTTACTCATGATCGCCTTTCTCTCCAGGCTCCAGCGATGATTCATGTAGATCGCTTGTGATGCAAACGATATGGTGAAAACATGTATTTTTTATCAATAGACAACTGGTATTACCAAAATCAAAAGATAACATTATTTACAATCCAAAAGTAACCAACGATCAAAATCAAAACTCTCGATAACTACAGGTAACAAAGAAAGGGTCTTTCTGGCCATATCATGAGCCACCCGATTGTCATTCCTGTCAACAAAAGAAACACCAAAGTTATGATACTGACGTCGCAATCCCTCAATCTCCTCCAGAATCCGCCCTCCCTTCAAGTCTCTTGCATCTCGCCGTTGAATCTTTTCAATAACAACCTTGACGTCCCCATAAAACCACACTTCAGTAAGACCCTTCAAAGAGCACCACTGAATCGCGTCCCGATATGCCACGAGGTCTACCAGAAAAGGATCCACAATATCTGCATAATAAAACCCCTTAACCAGACACACTCGACCCATGTCATCCCGGACAACCAAGCCCCCCGCACCGTGGGATCCTAATGAGACCGCACCGTCCACATGACAGGAGTAAGACAGCGCCGGCAGCGACTGAACCGGGCCCCGAGCCCTTGCCAAAATCCGTCGCTGCTGAACCGAAGCCTGAGCCGGCTGCACAAATGCCAACCACTCCCTAACCTGCTCCTCATACTGTCGGACTAACCTCGGTATACGGTGAAAACATCATTTAGGAATTTTTATACAAACGGTTGTATTTGGGATTTTTCTGTAAGAACTAGTCACGTTACTTAGCTAGATTCCCGTTAGTTAGGAACAAATGGTCTATTGTTAAGCTGAATTTCAAAACAGTGATAGACCGATAGTGAATAGTGATCGTTGGCTGATGCTGATGCAGCAATCACCTCAACTATTGGTTCGGCCTATGAAAAATAAAAATAAAAATGGCAGCTAGATCTTGATTTCCAGAACCTGAAGAAAACAAGGTACTGCTGCATCCAACTAACAGATATTTCCCAATCAATAAAACCACTTTAGAGGATCGCAGTTTTTGCACGACTTGCTAAACGCTTTTGGTCCACCCCACAGACAGCAGCTTCGCTTTGGTGGGATCACAAGGAAAGTCTTCTATCGTTGGAATCAGATGTCAATCGACAATGGGTAATAGTCAAGTGGACCACCAGAGAGCATTTTGGGGGGGTGTTTAAGTCAACGATCTTATCCTAATTTACTTATTTACCTGCTCTAATTAATAATGAATCCATTACGTTACGGCAATAGTAAGTAAGAGTAGAGTAGGTATCTGATGACTGCGCTCTGTCTGCAGTCATGTCCGAAACAGAGCAAGAGCTCAAATTTAAGAAAGCATATCGCACTTGTATTTTTGATAACCGCCCGGCGAAACCCAACAAAGCTTTCAAGTTAAACGACACATACATAGCAGCAAATACAGGAAACCCAGCCACAGCAGCAGCAATTAAGGACGGAGACGAAACAAGAAAAAGGAAGAAAACCCTTCTTCGCATGAAAGGATTTCCTCCCCTACTCTTTTGTGTCTTCTACGGAATCAAACCCCTGCCGTGGCTGTTCTTTATTTACACAAACATCAACAACAACAACAACAACAACTTTCTTATTACTACATAACCATGATCACGAACCAAGAGTCCCTGATTCGTACATGGCACCGAGCGAGGGTGTTGTAGGGTTTTTGTTCATTTGCAGCCGCAGTTGTCGCAGGTGCAGTTCGATCCGCACTTGCAGCCGTTCTCGGCACCGAAGTTCATCTCCGAGCCCTCAAATCCCCTGCCCCCCCAAAAAAAAACCCCACCAAGAAATTCACAATCCATCAATTAATTTCAATTCGTCAAAAGACCAATTAAAAAATCATCTATCTTTCTCAGCTCATCAAATAACAACTTGGCTATATAGAGTGATGAGATAACGTACATGTTGACCGGGGCGACGCCGGCGATGATGGTCTGGGTGGAGGTGGTGGCGGTCTCGATGAGATCGGGGTACATGCTGCAGCCGTTGCAGCCATTGCCGCACTTGCAGCTTGAGCCGCACCCACAGTTTCCTCCGCAGCAAGACATCTTTCTTCTGAGTTTTGGTTGTTTGGACAAGGGAAAGAGGAGAGAGTGTGGGTTTTGATTGCTCTGTTTTCAATGTAATGGATGATTTTCTTTGATCGGTTCCTGACCAGGCTATTTATAGTGGGGAGGGGGCGGAGGGGAGCTCCCTGTCCGCCGTACACGTGGCAGGATGATGGACCCATGGAATCTTTTGTATTTTTTCTTTCTTTTTTCTTCATTGACGGACGACGTAGACCCATATGGCCATCATATTCATTGGCCCATTGCTCACTCCGCCTTTCTCTTATTTTTCGCTGTCATTTTATTACCTCCTCCAGGTAAAACCTCACGAGTAACTGTCGTAAATTACGTGTCTATCTCTTTTATTATTTATCTTGCCTGCACTTTTCCCCAGGATGGGTACATATAAAATATAAGAGCGTGTTTGGATAAAATTATTTGGATTTGATGTTTGTGATTTGGATTTCTAAATGTTAAATCGTGTGTTTGGATATTAATTATATTTGGTATTTGGATTTGTGCCAAATTGATGGGGTGATTTTCAAATACATGTCTAGTGTATTACTTGTCAACTTCAAATGCATTTCAACAACTAGTGATTTGAAATACATCCCAACAAAAAAATGGACCTATTTGTAAAATATTAAAATTTTAGGTACTATAGTGTGAGGCAAAACATATAAAGGTACCAAAATGAAATTTTTACCATCAAAATTTCTTGATTTTTTGTACAATTTTAAAAGTTTAGGTATTAAATCGTAAGGAAAAATAAATTTGGGTACCAAACTGTAATTTACCAAAATTTGTAATAAGTGGCCAGAAAATTCGAAATTCAAATAAAAAATTATGAAATTTAAAATACAAATAAATTATAAATGAGTATCCAAATTACTAATGTTGTTAGAACCGAACCAGAGTATGACCCGGTAATGTGAACGACTCGCACTTTAGTGGTTCAATCAGTATTGGCCCGTTAAAAAAACTCGTTAGAAAACCAACACCTTATAATATAAAATATAATATCATTAGTACAAAACACCTAAAGTAGTAATTTAACAATTTAATGACTAAAACTTTGAATACTTGTTTGTGCTCTCTAGATACTTTAATACTTGGATATTAGTTCATGTATTTTGGATATCAGTTAGTATCTGCTAACGAATCTTCAAGTTAGCAGATTAACTTTCCCCTCCTTTGAGAGCGCCGCTCACCCCTGACCCCCTCTCTCTTCAATTCTCCATCTCTCTGTTTCGTTTCTTCCCAAACTCTCTTTGCATCTCTCGCCCTTACAACGACAATTCCCAAACTCTCTCTGCCTCTCTCAAGTCTCACCCTTACAGCGACAGGGTTGGAGGACAAAGATCAGTTGGCGGAGCTCTTCTCTGCATCCGAGGGTTGAAAACCCAACAGCAACACCACCGCCGTCGGGAAGGACCAACACGCTTCGATCGGAGAAGAAGTTGGATGAGAAGATGGAGTTCGATGGTGCTGGTGAAGCCATAGAGGACGATGGGTTCGCCGGCAGCGGCTACGTCGTCGAGAAATCCCACTCGACACGATTGAACCCTATAATTTTTTTTTTTCAATTACACCTATCTAAACGCACCCTAAGTGCATTTAGAGAGAGACAAAATAAAATGAGTAAGTTCATAATAAGCAGCGATAAGTAATTCAAACAAATTCTTCCGCATGATTTCAATTGATATTCTAAAAGTAGCAAATTCAAACATCGCATTTTAATTTTAAAAGTTTACATGAAGACAGTTTTCATTTATCCATGGACAATATGAGAGGAAGTTTGAAATAACACAAAGGGTCTTGGGTTCATACATTTGTATAGTCAAAACTTTTCCGTTTGTGCAAATAATAGCCAATTTTGGAGAAATATTACTTATAGCCAGAAATTTGAAAGTTTCTTGACAAATAGTCATTTCCCTTACATACTTTAACGGTGTTAGAATTTCCGTCAATTAGGTTAACATTATGCTGAATAGGATGCCACCTCAACGCACACGTCAGCTACATATAGGAGTGTTCAAATGGTTACCATGGTTATAACCAAACCAAATAAGGCTAAATTCCATTAACCATGGAATACAATATCATAACCAAACCGTCCAAACTAATACAACAACCAAATTATCCAAACTAAAGTTTAATCGGTTTGGTTAATTGGTTAACCAGATTAACCTATATAAAATCACATTATCATTGACGATGAAATTTTTTCGGTTAATGCAACAATTCGCAATTTATATAATGAATAGAACATAACAACCAACACGTAGTTATAGTTGACCCTTAACAAAAATACATGCAACTAAGACTTTACCTAACAAAAATTTATGACAATGGTATGTTAATGAATTGTTGTGTTTGTGTAAATTGACTTAGTCTCTTAGCAATTATCATAGGCTGGAAATGACCTTCCTTTCAAGTTATCTAAATTAGGCGTCCATATGTTGTGGTCTACATTTTACATATACAAATATACACTATATGAGCAATATTGAGCTTTATATTTTATGAGTCTAAAAGGGATGAACGTTAAATCTTGAGTGGTTATGCAAAGTATTAAGTATGTGTATATAATATATGTTAGATATATGACTAATTACTTAACTAGTTAATTTGGTTTGACTGGTTAGGAGTGTCTGAAACCAAACCAAACCACCTAAACCAAACAAGCTAAAAACTTTACCAAACCAAACCAATTATCCAAATTAACCAAACCAAATTATCCAAATAGTACCGGTTAAAACGGTTACCATATTAAACAAACCGTTTGAACACCCCTAAACTACAACTCACCAAACTTGCCATGTCATAATTTAATTTTAAAAATATTATTTCCCTTTATATCATAATTCCCAAAGGTTTGAAAGAAAAAAAAATCCTCAAAGATCGAGGACCATGCTGGATTTGATGATGTCCCTCAATCCCGTTCTCCCACCTGCTCTTTCGCTTTAGATGTACCTGACCACCGATGAACTCCGGCTTCTCGATCGGAGAGCGCATTTCATAATAGCCGCCCTCTCTCGTTTCCCCTTTGTCTACTTTTTACTGCTCGTACCACTAGAAGGCAAAGGAGATGGCGAGGCGAAACCTAGCCCAGGGGAGTCAGTCGCGACGGAGGATTTCTTCGCAGGAGCAGGGTCGTTGGTCGGGCCATTAACTGAAGAAGAATCCCTCTTTGCTTTTCTCTCCCTCCGCTCCTTCCAATCGACAATCCAATGTTCTATTTCACAGTCTTTAGTTTTTGATCAAGATTAGGCAAATCCCAATCATCATGGCAGACCTCCAATCGATATGCCTTCGACTCTATTCCCTCCGACGCAGAGCCAAAATCACACCCATTAAAGCTTTTGCCTTTTAACCCGCCTCAGTCCTCACCAACGTTGTGCTATTGAGAGCGACGCCTGGTTCTTCTTTTCTAGGATGGGGTTCTGTTACTTGATGCTTGGTCTCTTCTCAGATCTGGGTTCGATTGGATTTGTTGCTTTTCGTTCTCGACTTTAGTTCTATGATTTGTTTCGGGGGAGGGTTTGAATTGATTCGTGATATTGTTGATCGGTACAACTACGTTGCTATGGATACAGAGTTCCCTGGTATCGGAGACGATATGATCGAAGAAGATGAGGGAGGAGAAAGAAGAAGAGTAGCAATTGAACAAGATCTACCGATGAGGAGAGAGAAGGGAAAAGAAGAGAGAGAAAATAAAATGGTTTGTAGTTGACTGGTTGTGGGTTTTACGGAAGAGAGTTTTTTTTTTTTTTTTTATTGAAATCTGTAGCAATTTTATTAATCAGAGACAGCGGAAGAGAGTTGAGATCAGAGAAGATGGGAAGGTGAATAGGCGGTGGTGGCACTGAGATTATTGTTTTTATATTTTTTATTTAATTTAATTAAACTTAAAGGATACAATTTTAATAATTTTCCACATGTCATTATTTCTGAATAAAATATGACACGTCAATTGTTGTTGTTAGTCCAGTCACCCTGTTAGATAATATCGTTAAAGTATTGGACGGAAGTGACTATAAGTGGTATTTCTCCAAATTTAGCTATTATTGGCACAAACACAAAAAATTTGGCTATACAAGCGTATATTGCCAAACAATTACAACTGAACTCTTAGACGTCCAAAGTGTCCCAAATTTCCACAGAAGGTGCCTCCTTTTACCTCTTTGTAGGATGTCTACTATCATCACAACTATGTACGGGGATGTGGCAGTGGAGCAGTTGGTGAGCGATCCAAGTCAACAATAACTCAGGGAGGTTGTTGAAGGGGGGGGGGGGGGGGGGGGGGGGGGGGGGGACATCGATAAATTAATATCTTCCAAATACAGTATAGAAGGTTTTAGCCCAAGATTCTTTGGCACACCCTGAGCTCTTTGAAGGCCGCACACTGCATAAAGAGCAACCTATAAATCAGAATCATCCATATTCAATTTTATCTAAGAAATCGAATTCAAACGAACCCTCCCAAAGCTCAACAGGAACTAAAATAATGAGTTCGAGAAGAAGCACAATAGACAATTCTGCAGATACAACGAAAATGCCTGTTAAAATCTGTTATAAACGGGTAAAAGGCAGGATACACAGAGAGTTGTGTGACAATTGCTGTCGGGAAAGGATTAATTTCGGCGAGAAAATAGTGTATTGAATTGAGAAGAAGGACAAGAGAGATAGAGAAGGAAGAAGAGAAGCAGAAGGGATCAGAGGAGTTATAGAGGAAGGAAGAAGGACGGGAGAGATCAGAAAGTAGAGGAAGAATGGTAATTATGTATTCTGTTATTCGTTACATTTCTCATTCCAACACAACCCTATTTATATGACACAATAATTACACATTACTCCCCAAATACCTTCCAAATACAGTATAGAAGGTTTTAGCCCAAGATTCTTTGGCACACCCTGAGCTCTTTGAAGGCCGCACACTGCATAAAGAGCAACCTATAAATCAGAATCATCCATATACAATTTTATCTAAGAAATAGAATTCAAACGAACCCTCCCAAAGCTCAACAGAAACTAAAATAATGAGTTCGAGAAGAAGCACAATAGACAATTCTGCAGATACAACGAAAATGCCTGTTAAAATCTGTTATAAACGGGTAAAAGACAGGATACACAGAGAGTTGTGTGACAATTGCTGTCGGGAAAGGATTAATTTCGGCGAGAAAATAGTGTATTGAATTGAGATGAAGGACAAGAGAGATAGAGAAGGAAGAAGAGAAGCAGAAGGGATCAGAGGAGTTATAGAGGAAGGAAGAAGGACGGGAGAGATCAGAAAGTAGAGGAAGAATGGTAATTATGTATTCTGTTATTCGTTACATTTCTCATTCCAACACAACCCTATTTATATGACACACTAATTACACATTACTCCCCAAATACCTTCCAAATACAGTATAGAAGGTTTTAGCCCAAGATTCTTTGGCACACCCTGAGCTCTTTGAAGGCCGCACATTGCATAAAGAGCAACCTATAAATCAGAATCATCCATATACAATTTTATCTAAGAAATAGAATTCAAACGAACCCTCCCAAAGCTCAACAGAAACTAAAATAATGAGTTCGAGAAGAAGCACAATAGACAATTCTGCATATACAACGAAAATGCCTGTTAAAATCTGTTATAAACGGGTAAAAGACAGGATACACAGAGAGTTGTGTGACAATTGCTGTCGGGAAAGGATTAATTTCGGCGAGAAAATAGTGTATTGAATTGAGATGAAGGACAAGAGAGATAGAGGAGGAAGAAGAGAAGCAGAAGGGATCAGAGGAGTTATAGAGGAAGGAAGAAGGACGGGAGAGATCAGAAAGTAGAGGAAGAATGGTAATTATGTATTCTGTTATTCGTTACATTTCTCATTCCAACACAACCCTATTTATATGACACACTAATTACACATTACTCCCCAAACTAAATTGTATTACAATTAGGGTTAATACCTTAGTTTGGCCTGAACTATACACATACTTTCTACTTTGGCCCGTGGTATTGAAAATTGCTATTCTAGCCTGAACTATGTAGCAAACTTCCTCATTTGGCCTGGAGGCGGGTTTGACCGTCAAATTAGATGGTCAAACCTATTGAACGTTAGTCAATGTCCACCTCACCTGCCATGTCAGCTTTGAGGACATAAAAAATTATTTTTTTTTATTTCTGAATTTTGTTTTCTTTTGATTAATAAAAATCATAAATCAAAAAAATTAATTAAAAGAACGAAAAAGGGCCCATTTTTAGCAAATGATAAGAAAACAAAATTCAGAAATAAAAAAAATAAAAATTTATGTCCTCAAAGCTGACGTGGCAGGTGAGGTAGACATAGACTAACGGTCAACAAGTTTGACCGTCTAATTTAACGGTCAAACCCGCCTCCAGACCAAATGAGGAAGTTTGCTACATAGTTCAGGCCAGAATAACAATTTCCAATACCACGGGCAAAAGTAGAAAGTATATATATAGTTCGGGCCAAATTAAGGTATTAACCCTTACAATTAACCCCCTACCCATACATTGGTTCGTTACAACTCCCAACCTCTTGAGATTAGTCTTGTCCTCAAGGCCAAGATACAAATGAAAACACAGCATCCTAGAAATGCAATGAGAAACAAGTAACAAGAGGAAAGAAACTGGAAATGATAATGGTTGTTGAAGAGGACAAACGAAAGTAAGGCCTCTGCTCCACTGCAAGCAAGCTACTGAGTATGAAGAGTCTGCAGCTCCTGAAGGTAAGCAATCCACATCACAACCCACAAAATAAATCTCAGAAGCACCATTATCCAGCGTTGCGACTCCATTACAGCCATCAACCACCCACGCCTGTTGAAAATTCCCATCAAACAGCTCTCCAGCATTGCAGCCCACTAGAACGCTATCTTTGTAGGGTTCTTTAAACTCAGGGAGTTTGCCTCTTCCACGCGAAAGCACTATAGTCCAGCAAAACTCCTTGTACGGTTCCTTAAAGTTATGACAAACATTCTCTCTTTTAAGCTTCACCCTAGGCCACCAATACCCATGAGCTTTCGGCAAAGTAGAATCCCATACACCTGGCAAAAACCCATCATCACAAGTAGGGATGGCAATGGGGCGGGTTTGTCTAAACCATCCCCATCCCCATCTTCAAATACTCAAACCCATACCCGCCCCATACCCATGCGGGGGAATGTTTTGCAAACCCATCCCCATACCCGTGGGTTTCGGGTACCCATGGATAATACCCGTACCCATACATCCAACATTATTATACCTAAAAAATTTACAAGAAAAGTTTTAATTATTACTCTAAACGAACTTATTATATCATGAAGTCAACAAAACACGATCATTTTCTTAATACGGTTCAAAGTATATGATCCTAAAACATCCATTAATACATAATATAGAGTATAATATTTTTCAAATTATTATCTTCTAACTCTTATACATCTACTGAGTAATAATTAACTAACATAATCTTGTAGACAAGGGGAAAAGTGAAAGAGTGAATAGAGAATTGAGGGAAATGAATTAGATTTTGATTAAAATGGTTACTCAATTGCATTTCTACTATTTATTTCCTTGAGTTATCCTTATCACCATTGATAGATTACAATTTAATCCACATATTTTTATATATGTGAAGAAATTCTCTTGGTGGGGCGGGTATGGGTATGGGTATGGGGCGGGGGAGGTCAAAACCATACCTGCCCCATACCCATCAAACTTTTTGCGGGTTTTACCCATACCCGCCCCATATCCGGTCAAAGTGGGGATTCCCCGCGTTGATTGGGTCGGGGGCGGTCGGATACCCGCGGCCATGGATTTTATTGCCATCCCTAATCACAAGGAGCAATAGGCAAGACATAGCGATCACAATGAACTAACTGATTCGGGTCCAATTGCACACATTTTGCCCCTCATTTCTTGATAGTTTGGCTTTGCATTTGATCGTCCCTCGACATATTTCATGCTAGGTTGTGCTTGTTTTGATACATTTCAGGTCCTAGCACGTGTGGAAGGTTTGAGGAGGAGTTTCAGGACGATTGGAGGTCGAAAAGCGTGAAAAAACCGAAGAAAATTCCAAATTGGTGATCATAAAGCGCAAGCGTCCAGGAATCAGCCACAGTACACGATCAAAGCTGCGAGTTCACGATCGCCAGGACCGTGAACTGGAACCACAAACCGTGAACCGCGAAATGTCCAAAGGGGTTTCTGAGGTTACTAACGCCAAGGCAGTTCACGGTCTCTAAGACCGTGAACTGGAACCATGGACCTTGAACCCCAAAAGTGAAGCGACACATTTTGATTCAAGCACTGCAGTTCATGGATGCGTTCTGATGTTCACGGCCGTTAACTGGGCGCGACCTGAGTATAAATGGAGAGCTGAAAGGAGGAAAAGAGAGAGCTTTTAGTAGGTTTTTAGTGTGTAAAATAAAGGAGGGTTTCTAGTGAGAGATTATGGTTTCCTCTTCATAATCTAGAGAGAAAGTGCAATTTCAAAGGAGGAAGAAGGAGATTTGGGCTCATTTCAAACTAGAGGAGTGACGGTTTCTTCTTCTCAAGGGAGATTCAAGCACCAAGGAGGAAAGATTTTCATCTCTTCATGGTTCTTTCTCTCCTTTTCATTGTTTTCCTTTGCCTAGCTATGGAATAGCCTGCCTATTCACTTGGGTGTTTGTAAACCCTAGCTACAATTATGTGAATTCTTGTATGAATTGAATGATTTGTGTTTTAATGTGAATGTGGAGGTATTATTCAGAATTGGTTGTGCTGTGTGAAAGCCTATCAATCTAATTGTCATTCTAACCTAGCTTAGAGAGGAGACCTCCTTAGGTTACGAGGGTCAATATTGAGATGGGTGCTCTTGGGAATTTCATGCCTCCTAGGCTAGTTTAAAGAGGAAACCTCCTTAGTTTAAGAGACTCAATTTGAGATGGGTGTTCTTGAGCATTTCATGCCTCCTAGGCTAGTTTAGAGAGGAAACCTCCTTTATCCAAAGAGGCTCGATTTTAGCTGGCTTTCCTTGGGAATTCAATGCCTCCTAAACTAGTTTAGAGAGAACCCTCCTTAATCTAAGAGGCTGTATTAGAGATGGGTTTCCTTGGGCATTCAATGCCCCCTAAGCTAGTTTAGAGAGAACTCTCCTTAACCTAAGAGGCTCTATTGGAGATGGGTTTCCTTGGGCATTTTATGCCTCCTATTCTAGGTTAGTTAAAGAGCTAACCTCCTATTTTGCATTAGCACTTAGGGTTTGGTTGTGGGTGGCCGTCCGAACTCCAATTTGAGGGTGAAGTCTAACCATTCCTTACTCGATAGGTTAAGAGGGACAAATTAGTGGCTTGGATCGTATCCCATTCCTCAACCTAGATGCTAAGAGGGTATCTTTGGCTGCTTGTTAGACTTCCCTGCAGTTTATGACCCCCTAACCACACACGATCGTTCGATCCAACAAGTCGGAATTGACAGCGTCTTTGGAGTCAGAGTTCGCAACAAACCACATCTTCGTCCGAATAGCATCGCTAAATAGTCTCTGAGCCGCTCCCATACCAACGGCCCAAGTCGGGGTTGTTTTCGCCGTTGGTGAGGTGCTTCTTTGCCTTTCATCACTAGTATGTCCCTGCCTCTCAGCTGTCGGGCTTGGAATCCTCGGTTGACCATAGTTAGATTTGCCCGTTTCTTGGATTGTTGGGTTTCGCGTTCCCCCTTAGGGTTTGGCGAAGAGGACCCGATGGGAGGTCGACGTTGCCCAGTAACTGTCTCGTCATGCATGCTAAAATCCGAGCTCCCCCCGGACAACGAGATGTCACTGCCGACATGGGAAAAGCGGTGAAAACCCTATCTCGCTTCGCAAACGCAATTCCTTTCCGCACCTGATTTTTTGGAGCACCCGCTCTCCTATCAAGAGCAGGTTTTTTAATAATTTTGACTACATTATTAATATACTAGGAAAGTATTATAAGATAAATAACTTAATTATGAAATTGCCTTATCTCCCTTACTATTGCTATCTTGCCTTACTCCTTTTTCTTTCACCATCTTTTTCGTAAGAAATTATGAAGCTACCTTATGTCCATTTACTTTTCATGTCAATATTTCTATTGAGGCGTTGAATACTACAAGATTTTTTTTATAAATAG